TATACACATATATATATGCACATTGTACTTAATTCATATTTGATTCTATTTAGTTAAACATACTTACGTTTATTATGATTTAGGGGCACAGCTTAGTTGTTTGCCATTGTTTGGGTTAGCTTTGGTAAATAGTTCCCAAAAGTCCAATAAGCCATAACAACAATATGCAGCATTAATTACTGTTTAAAGCTAATTATATAATATGGGAACGTTTTTTTGGGGCCAAATGTACGCAATTGGCCTTTTGGCATTGCCATGAAATGACGCCGTCAATGTCAAAGGCAAATTTAGCAGCGCACAAAAAACTTTAAAACTGCGCACCAACGGCAACGACAACAGCAGCTGGAGCAGCGTACCCTTTTACCACTACTCCCCTTGTCAACCGATTATCCGATTACCCCGTCAACGGTACACCTTACCAAAAATACGTAAACGCAGCTTAGCAAATTTTGCCCTGCCAACGACTTGAGTTTTATTTTTATGTTGATGTAAAAACTTTACGTGCTCAAGTTTATTGAGTGGCTGTTATATAAATATATATATATATATATATATATACTATATACATACTATATATATATTTATTTATACTTTGAATTGACTTGTATCTCATAGTAAATAAAGAAGATGAAAATATGAACTACAAGTTTATTTATATGGGTACTACAAAATATGCTAATCACTACTCCCGCACACTCAGCATGTGTAAGCTTATGTGTGGATATGTGGCTAGCAGTCAAATAGGTAACAAGGGTTAAGCTCTAGAAACGCAGCATGTCTTGGGGGTTAATCAGCGATAGTAGAGTTTTTATGTAAATGTAGATATAACTTTCAGATAGAAAGCACTCTTTGACTATCAAGAAATTAGATCTTATCAAGGAACTAGCCCGGAAAATATGTAAGTGGAATAAAGGCTAATCATAGACAAGCTATGGGCAGAACTTTAAAATGAGAATAATAACTCGATACACTCGGAAAAAAAGGCCCTGCATTTTAGAATTTCGTCATGCTATTGGCGCCAGGGTAAAGCACCTTATTATTCTGAAAGTATATTCCCAAAACGGAATCTTGTGTCTTTCAAAGACTAATGTTTTTCATTTTTTAATTCCCAGGATAAATATAACTCTAACATTCGATTTATTATTTAAAAAATTAGTATTTTAAGACTTCACATGTACACACATCTTAGATAGTTCATAAATTCATATAAAATAGTTTGAAAAATGTTTCGAAAAAACTGAGCTCTAACATAACAGTGTAGAGAGCGAATCTCCATTTCATTTCTATTGTTTATTTTATTAAGAAATAAATTTATAAAATAAAAACATTTATAATTTTAATAAATTTGTTTTTATATATTTAAAAGATTTAGATTTCCAGTCTTCAGAGAGGTTTTATTTGAAATCGATTTGAAGGCATCACATGTTATACTTGTAAGTTAGACAAACTTCGCCAACAACGTTTTATATATTACGAAGCTTAGTTACTGCCACAAGCATACTTAATAAATCCATATTTAGATTAATTGAGTTCATCTCTTAAAATTGTACCAAGTACCAATGAAAAAACACACAAGACTTCCCAATAGGAAGTATTCACATAAAAAATAAAATATTATATCGATTTGTATGGCTTATTAAGGCATATTAATTCAATATTGGTAAATGTTGTCTGAAATAAGCAACTAGATCGGTTACCTTGGCCCATTCTTCCCGACTTTAAGCTGGAAGCAATTTCACTTTGCATATTCATTAGAGAGACGGCTTGTAACACTGTAATATCAGATGCCAGCCAAAGTAAATGTCTTGTCTGCGGGCGTCTCAATTTTTAATGAAGCCAACGCAGCGAGTAGCAGCGAGGCCCTTATGGCCATAAAATAAAATGGGGGAAATTGGCGCCAAGGGGCCCGCAGCTGGTAAAAGAAAGACCAAAATGTTGCATCACTTTTAACGGACATAATAAAAGCCATTAAGCAAAAAACTAACACGAAGTGGGCCAGCCAACCAAACAACTGAGCAGCACCCAATTTCCGACTGCAGCATCTTTCAGCATAGTTAACAGTTTCAACTAAGTCGTGATGGCGAGATTGCCGCACGTGCCCCAAAAAACGCTCGATTTCTGACTGCCTGTTGACAAATTTACCACCAAATAATTTCACACACTTTGGCACACGGATCATATTTTCGACGTTGTCACTTGTCAGGCATCTTGACACAAGCTCGCAACGCCAACCGGAATACAATCACACAAGTCCAAGTCAGACAGATGATGCTCCAACTTGCTTCTAAGTATTGCGAGATTATGTTTGACATGTGTACAATTTGTTAATCTGTGGCACATACATGTACATAACAAGTATATAGGCTTAAGCTCAATATTTTTGAATTCTTACATTTCGTATTCAAAGTAATTATCAGCCTATACTCAGAATACAAAATCACCCTGAATTTTAGAAATTTTTAGAAAAATGTGAACGTATTTTAAAAATATATTAGTTGTTCTTATCTTAGTTTTAGAAATATACTTTTTGAATAATTGTAAGATGAGTTACCCTTGTCTATATTTGTCAATATTTTTGTCTGAGTGTATAGAAAGTTTGCCGTGTGAAAGGTCTAATATCTAGGTATCTCCCTAGTCTTTGTTATAACAAAACTAATGACTTCAAAAAATAATGAATTATGATATCAAACGCATATGCACAGATACAAATCCAAACACACACACACATGCTCACACTTATATGATATGCCATCCTTATGACAATGCCTAAGAAGCTTAAATACTTTTAATTAAAAAGTGTATACTATAATCAAAGAGTTGCTGCCCTATTTGAATTTCATTTTGGCAATTTCTTATGCGAATACAAATTAAATAAATGAATGAAATTTAAGCACGTATGCACACACACACACACACAAAGAGCTACTACTATTAAGTTTCCATATTTATGTTATGTTATCAGTGTGTATGTGTGTGTGTGTGCGTGTGTGTGTGCAGAACTGTTTGCCTACAACTACATCAACACTTTTTGGCTTTGACTTGATTTGTACAAAGCAAAAGAGATGCTTCTGTTTGTCTAGCGCCCTCTTTTGTTTGGAACATTTAAATGAGAAAACTTTTATTCGACCCCCATACCCCCATACCGCCCCCCGCTGCGCTCCTATACACCGCATTTACCAGCTCGCCATCTGCTTAACATGCCACACACAGACAGACAGACATATATGCGATCACACAGACACAGATACACACATGCCTAGACAAAGTTATATATTGAGAACGTCTTAAAGTGAACTAAACAACCAAATGACGCACATTGGACTAAGAATATCAAAAAATTCTCGTTTGGACCCAAAAAACACAAAACAACCAAGAAAAGTGATTTTTTGTTTGCTCTTCTGAACTGTACAAGTTACACACAAGTTATGCGTGAGTTTTATACGACTTTTTATTGACAAAATGACAGCATTCTATGGCTGCCAGCCACATAATGATACTAAAGTACGACTCAAGTGCACTGCGTATTTGTGTACGAGTATACCCTGTGATTAGCTCAACATTATTTTGGCTTACCGCGAAAAGAAATGATGGAAATTGTGCTAGCATTTCTATGAAAGGAAATTACAAGCTGGAATACACCTTTATATTTTCAAAGTATCTATATTATATAACTTATATATATATAAATAAACTACCATATAGATATTAAAGAAAAAGTGAAAGGATTAAAGGATTACCTAACGTCGCTCCAAAGAATACATCACACCAGCGAATTATTCACTAATGACTGAATAATCATTTTTATACACTAAAAATTGATTTGATTTGAAAGATTGATTTTCTTATTTTATACTTAATATTAGACAATCGACTTGATTTAATTTAATTCTCTTATTTTTAATATTTATAATTTAGCTGGGAATGTTTACTTTGATAGCTCAAAGCTTTAACTTGAAAATTAACTTGGCAATTAACTCTGAATATATTTCATTTCATGAATGCAAGTACCGTTTTTCGACAAGTGTATACACAGAGCATTCTGCCGCTATTTTGGCTTTAATCTTATTTAGATATCGTTATATACTGTTATGTGAGTTACAGTAAGTTGCTGTTCGGGATGGAGCATAAAAAACTTTAAGAAACCAAATCGCATAAAGTGTTGTTAAGCAAAAGTGTGATAAATCAATTTGTAATTGGGGCAAGTTTCGCCCGTTTCCTGTTCGACTCCACTTGGCTCTTGGCTGTCCCCAAGTGGCAGTGGGACTACTCTGCTACTCGTCCATATCCCACAAATATATATGTGCCTAAACACAAATATATGAATGTGATTTACTTGCGTTTTTTTTAATATTTTTTTTTTGGCTTTGGGGTAACCGATTGGCGGTCTTGTTGTGAACTTTTAGCGAGCTTAAGCAGTATTTAGTACATATTTATATACTTATTCGCAGAGAGAAAAAATAAACAGTTTATAGTTTGGAGTGTCATATATTAAGACCAATTTATATGTGTCATTTCGTTATTAATACTATTTTATATATTAAAATATTTTATCTCAAATATATATTTAATATTAACCCCGAAAATCCCACTAAATATTTAAATATCTAATATATATAAAAAAAAGAAAACATATTTTGTGGAATTAAGTTTTATTTTTTTATTAAAAAAAAATATAAACAAATCTAGATTTTTTCTCTATGTGTTTATTATATATCCACACATACGTACGAGCATATATGTATGTGTGTAAGTATGCTGTTACTCAAGTCAAAGCTGCTGTTATGGTGATAAAATTCTTACATGTTGCAGCCCTTTTGGTCAACAGCTTAACTTGGTCTATGCTGGACTTTGATACAAATCCCCGCAAAATATAAGAATGACAGCATTAAATATTTATTTGCGAGTACAGGCTTTTGGGACTTAGTATTGTACATATACTCGTACGTTTTGCACAAATCTCATGAGCTTTTGCATGTTTTTTTGTTCGATTTCAATTACAGCTGGACCTGCAATTACAGGACGAAGCTGGCGGCGACATCTCAAGTTTCATAACCAATGGCGAATGGGACTTGCTAGGTGAGTTGTTCTCAAATTAAGCATTGAAAACTGTGCTAAGTATTATTTAACTTGTCAACATACACATACATGCATACTCAATAAGGTCGTTAAACTGACTAAAGAACTGTTTAAAACTGCAAATAACTAAACAAGCTAAAAAAAAAGAAAAAAAAAAAAAGAAAAAAAAAAGAATTGAGTAAATATTTTACTAATTAATAACTATAAATAATTCTCATCTTCTCTTTTGCATACGCCCATCTCATTTGCATCTAATTACCAATCAACAAAACAAATAACAACAACAATAATTACAACTAATATATATATATATATATAAAAACAACAAACAACATCAAAATTATACCCAACCAGGTGTGCCCGGTAAACGTAATGAAATCTACTATAATTGCTGCCCAGAACCTTATATTGACATAACATTCGCCATTTTGATACGACGCAAAACTTTATACTATTTTTTCAATTTAATTGTGCCGTGCGTATTGATCGCATCGATGGCACTGCTAGGGTTCACACTGCCACCAGATTCTGGTGAAAAGCTCTCGCTTGGTAAGTGTCCATTTAATACACAGCAGAAACAATCCAAAAACCAAACTACAACTGAAACCGCAACTGATATCCCTTGTCTTTTAACGCTTTAAAGTGTTTTGATATGTTTAATTGTTGATTTTCTGTAGGAATATTTGCATGCTCTACAAACCGAATTCCGTCTAATACCACTTACCTGCATACATGCATACTTAACAACATACCTACAAACACACATATATGTCTACATATAAAGTTATTTCGAAACAGAACGCAATTCGCTGCGATGGGCTGCCAGCAGTAGGACCCAAGTTGACTGCCACCATATTCCACATTAAATATATGCCACAGATCCTTGACTAACTATGCAAATGCAATCCAATGGCCGTTGGCAATAAAAAGTCTGGCAACAAGCAAACAAAGCAAGAGCCAGCAAGTGTGAGCCACGGCTCACAAAACAGTCACCATCATTTGTAATCAAAGTCAACGTTGGCAAAGTGAAAAATATGCCACAGCTGCTGGCCAACCTTTCAGGACTAGAGTAGCGCACAAATACGGGACGACGGACGACAGCGGACGGACATGAAATGAGCACAGAGCCTTGAACCCTTAAACCTCAGCTGCAGCTACTGTTAGTTAACCATGTCAAGCAGCGCAGTTAAAATACAAATATTTACAATATAAACTTTCTCCATCCTAATGCATTCAACTTAGCAAACAACAACAATATGCGCTGAATTTCAACTGCACTGAGAGAACTTTGAACAAGTTTCCTAAAGCTAATTTGTAATGCTAAAAATGTATCGATTTGATATTGATTTTAATCGATGCTATCAAAACTCTGCAAGCATTTTCACAATATATTAAAAAAAAAAAAAATGCCTTGAATAAATAAATAAAATATTACCTAAAATTACTTTTACATAACATGAAATAATGATCAACTTCAGATATGCGATATATTTCGAATAAAATGTGATAAATCTTATACATACTATATATAATGCATATACATTTTTGACAAGCATAAAAACATTGATCAAGATATGCTTTAGGAACTCGAATTGAGAACAAATTGTTGGACTGACTATGATTCACCGAAACAGATCTGAAAGAGTAGTTTATAATAAAAAATTGCACTTTACAGTTCTAGTTGAATGAAAATTGATCTGGGAACTATGATCTATTGATCAAATTCATTTTGTTGCCTTCTCTCTCCAACGTTCTTGTCAGTTTCTGGCCACTGACAGGACACGCACACATTCGAGACAACGTGCGCATACACACACACACACACACACGAACACACACACACACACACACACACACACACACACACACACACACACACACACACACACACACACACACACACATATACACACATAAAGTTGGGAAAATAATGCGAAAATGTGGCAAAATACTTTGCAGCTCATCTCCTGAGCATGTGCGACTCAAAAGATACATTGGCCATTGCACTGTGGTCCCAAAGCATACTTTTTTGAACAGAATTTAAGAGTGATGGAAATTTTCAAACATTCCTGAAGAATATTTGTATTGGGCTATTTGTCAAATTATTACTGGCTCAGTTCAAGTCACAGCCAAATAAAAGGGCAAAAGTATGGAAAAGGAAAAATTTTAAAGACTTTAAAGACTTTACTGAGAGTTTGTGCCACAGTGAATTGTTGTAGAAGTAGTTGCCTCTGCGGCTCATCACGTACTTTCAACACGCGGCATATGGTGCATGGCAAAATGTATACAATACTGCTATACAAAAATACTTATTTGAGTATATAATATGTATATACCTATATTGTGTACATAAATACATCGCGCTTATGAGCGCAAGCAGCAGCAAAAGTTTTGCTTGCAGCTGCCAAAAAAAAAAAAAAAAGCAAAAAAATGCCATATTTTAAAAATTTCTCATAGAAAAATCTACCCCCATCCCCAGTACGACATGTGTGTGTGTGTGTGTGTGTGTGTGTGTGTATTTAAAGGAAACGCATTAGGGCCGCCAGCCGTGGCTCATGTATAATAGACAAGTTTGCACAAAGCTCTGTGGCTAATTTATGTTTGCCCGACACTTTCGTCGAGCTCTCTTTGGAGAACTTCGCGTTTCCCCCTCACGACCAGCTGATTTTTGACATAATTTATACAAGGTCGAAAAGTAAGCATATCAAATATGCACAGGACGAAAGAAGAACCAAAATAATATTCAAAATACAAATAATAATAAAAACGGAACCAACCAAAATCTTTGATAAGGCTAAGCACTCACTGACAAACACCAGCTGCCCCAAGGAAGCCCCAAGCGAACCCATAAATAATGATAAATTCCATAAGGCTTCGCAGGACTATGGGAAATGTGTGGGGTGGTGTATTATCTCTATGTGTGTGTGTGTGTGTGTTGGTGTGTGTTTGTTGTTGTCTTTTATTGAGAACTGTAGTTGTCGGACGTTAGCACATGTGGAATTCGTACTGTAATTGTTGACGGACTTCTTGAGGTTCAGCGCAGAAAATACGGTAGTAGTTTTTTATTCAAAACGAATGCCACAAAAGCGGGACAAGTCGCAATTACATCATAAATGCATCCTTGCAGCAAATGCAGCAGCTGACGACGCAGGAAGCAGCAGGCAGGATTAGATGGAACAGCTCGTGCTCGTGTACTCATTTCTAGTTTGGCGAATTTTCTGCAAGCGCATCCTGTCTTAAAAAAAGAAAGCTACTAATAATAATATTACTTTTGTTCTATCTCCTTTCTCCTTATACTCTTCTCTCTCTCTCTCTCTCTCTATCTATCTCTCTCTCTTTTTCTCTCTCTCTCTCTCTCTCTCTCTCTCTCTCTAACTCTCTCTCTCTCCTGTATCTTTTAATAACATGAACACACACAAAACACCCACTCACAACACACACACACACACACACACACACACACACACGCTCACTTACGAACGGGGCGCGCAATAATTTTGTGCTGCATACTTGCAGGAGTCACAATATTACTATCGCTCACAGTCTTCCTGAACATGGTAGCGGAAACGATGCCAGCGACTTCCGATGCCGTACCGCTGCTTGGTAAGTATAGGCAACGCCATCTGGCGTTGGCTGCTGACAATTAGCCCTGGAAGCCCACTGACTTCAATTGAACACACATTCAACTCAGTGCTACAACAACAACAACAACAACTGCAACTAATCAGCTAAGATTTTTACCTTCCGCACAGCCTTAAAAACGGCCGCCACCGGTTTTCGCGTACTATTAACAAGTTTTTTAGCTCTATCAATTTTCGATTTTTCTTCTTTTTTTTTGCTTACTGCTTGTGCGCGGTATAAAAATATTTGCAGTAGAGTATGATGATGACAAACAATGAAATGGAATGTTAATGTTAATGTTAAAAAAAAAGGGCGATTCGCAAGTTTGTCGTTTAGATGCATAGGCACTTCTGCGAGACAAGACACACTTGGACATTATGAATATGTGTGTATTTCCAAAATCCTGAGAAAAGTCCAATTCTGTGTTTTAATTAATTAAAAGTACTCTATGTTTCAAGAAGCACAATCAAAAGCAACTGTAAACAACAATAGGAGCAACAGCAATATTTACTTTTCAGCAAACAATGAAAGCAGAGCGCCAGTCCTTTCTCTCAGTGAAGATTTCCACAGCTATTAGTTTCCAATTTGAAGTTTTGTTATTGTTGCTGCCAGATTGTAAGCTATAAACACGTCATACAAATTGCCCCGTCTCAAGTTTCATACAGCTACACGCACCTACGACGAGGCTCCCACATCGAAGGAGAACTTTTCTCGACTATGCTGCCATGCCATCATGCTGGTGTGCTCGGGCGTCCTGAAATCTTTTAGTGTCTAGTTTCTGGTGTTTGCTCTTTGTTTGCACCATATTTCATTTAATGGCCGGCAAATGGAAACGATATCGATGGCAAGGCCGCCATCGCATTCAGCTTGGCAGTTTGGGGGTAAAGATGTTCGCCGTGATTTAAGCGATTTCATGAACTTTCAAAATGTTGTATGCGACGCACACATCTCAAGTTTGGGCCAATCACGTGCATAGATAATATATTTCGAAGACCCAAGTTGCACGCACATCAGAAACTGTTGCAAATGGCATGGCACAACTTTCCACTTCTTAGCTTAAATATCTACACACATCTAAGACAACTACATACTTGAATTCCCAATGCATTAAAAAGTATTCAAGAAAGTGTAGCGATAAATATTAAGATACTTTTTGTTCGTGATGTCTAATATGAACACTGAAGCCTCGAGGTCTCTAATACAGATAAAATATAAATAAATATGAGGACGTGAGACAATATAGCCACTGAAAAACATCAGATGAACGCAAAAGGGGAACAGTCTTGGCAATGGTTTGCCGAGAATTTTACATAATAAATATGATATGGCTTAAAAGTTTGCTTAATTTGAATAGAAGCAAGTGTAACTAAGAGAAAAAACCACACAGTAGTTAATTGAGCCATAGAGAAAGAGTACGATTTAATGACACCCATATCTATATGTGGTCTAATGGACTTTAAAAGCACCCTCTTATGTGAGCATAGAATAGATCCCTCTTTGCACAAACCATCGCCAATAATAACCAAATGGGCATTTGTTAGTTATTGTGGTTGTTACTATCCCTCAGCACCCTACTATGAATACGATTGTGAAATGTAGATGACTGCAGTTGTATCATATGCCCCGTAGAACTTGAAGTAGAAATGTATATTAATTTATGCTCCCCGTCCGATTAAACGTAGTACCCAAAAATGAAATATGGTTGTAATTTTAATATCTAATTTTATCATTTATGTTCCTTCTAATAATTTTCTTTTATTTCAATAAATTTTAGACGGACTATATTTGGAAGTTCTTAAGTTTTTTATTCACATATTTGTACATGTATCCCATATACTTATTATTTTAAAGAGTGGAAAGTTCTATGGGGATAGTTCGATGAATCTACATATACTTCTAGATTAGTATAGTGTGCGTGAGCAGCAATTAGTCAAAGATATAGATTCTAGATCATTTAGTGCCAAAATGCAGACAGACACTGGAGCAAACATGCATTGTATGTGTTGTCCGTGTAAATGAAATTAAATTTGTCATTTATAATTATTAAAATGAATGTCATTTGCATAAATACAAACCATAATATAACTCAAGTGTGAAAGTGTTACTTATACATGTATATATGTGTGTGCATGTATGATGTGTGTATGTAAGTATATTGTATTATTCTGTATGCTCCCATATTTGGTGGACGGATTGCGATCCAACCAGGTGATGCCGTTGTCACAATTTAAATACATACAAACAACAAGCCACATTAGTGCCATGACTAGAAAAGTTTGCACATCGAAACATATACATACTGATATATAAACGTATATTTATATCAATAAATATAGATCAGTTAGGTAACTTGTTGAATCATCATAACTAAGTATTACAACTTGAAGCATGATAATGTTACAAAATTTAGTTGGACAATAACAATAATAATAATAATAATAATAATCCCTAATGAAGTGTTCAGATTTCAATTCTTTCGTTTGTAGCTTAATTGTAAGGTAAGTCACGTGTAAGTCATACAACCGAAGACTACAATCATCCCAAATTTGATCAGCTTTAAATTGATATCTCAATAAAGTTGGGTTAAAGAAAAATTACAAAAATTCTCAACATTTCAGATTTAATAATATACATATTTCGTTAAATACAACACTGTCATCTATTTAAGCATGTCATTCCTTCATATTCGATTGTGATCTTTAGTACTTTGTGTACTTTAGTATTTTGAACTATTTTAGATATCATAACGTGCACAGATGATAATGCATATAGCGCACACACACACACAAACACGCACTCTTACATATATTATCGACCGTATACATATACTCATAATACATACACACACACACACACACACACACACACACACACATGTGTATTAATTTAATTTCATACCCATCATATGTAGTATGTGTATTTTGAATTTCATCTGTTGAACCTTATATCGTATCGAGGACTGGTATGGCAATTAAACTTAAAGCATGCACTCTGGACCTTTCGATAGACAAACTCTCGTATTTGGTTAATCGAAATCCAGCAAAAACTTGCGAAAACAAAACGAAACAAAACAATACAAAAAAAAAAAAAAGAAGATAACAAAAGTGACAGGCCAGATTCATGAGTCGGCGGGTGTCGAGAAAGTCGAGAGAGTCGAGTCGAGTTGTGTCGAGTCGAGTATTAGGCAACTTAACCAAGTTTCTCTCTTAACCATAAGTATTTATATAGTATGTATGTATACACACGCACACACAAATAACTGTATATTTTATTTACAACTTGTGTAGAGCTTTGTTTTCGATTCTGTGATTTATTTTGGATTTTATGCGTACAACGAGTGCTCGCATTATTAATGTCTGTGTCAGATATTGCCAAGGACCACTACCACATAATGTAAAAGAAAAAACGTTCTTGTTGGCATGCAAGAACACAAATGCCTATAAACTGTTGACATGCCCCGGCCCCCACGCTCCGCCCTGTTCCGATACACACACACCACACACACACACACACAAACACACAGAGAGACAAAGACATATTCACACACACACACACACACACAGATAAATAAACATTTGATGTATCGAATAATTTTGTATTGCACATTCATACAATATATGAATACAAATATGAATATGAATATGAATATGAATATGAATATGAATGTGTCAAGCGGCAATCCATGCAATATACACATTCCAACTGAATTGCGTTCGGGATGTGTGGATGTGGATGCTGTGAATGTGAATGTGAATGTGAATGGGGGCAAAGGCAGCGCCAACGTCAACGTCAACATCAACGTCAACTTTAACGTCAACGTCAACGTCAACTTCAATGTTAACAGAGACCGTCGTTAATTGATGCTTGAAACGCTATTGAACTTGCACCACTGTCTCCAGATGGTCAAACTATTCAACGCAACGCCCAATTTGCAATGATTTTGTTTGAATCTTGCCAATATACATATACACATACAAAAACACACACACACACACACACATACATAAACACATAGACAGCCAATGGGAACAGCTATGTAAATAAATATAGAAACAAATTAATGTCCGTAATTAATAAACAAAATTTAATAATTAAAACTAATTCCAAGCGAACAAACTCTGTCTGTTTCTATAATTACATCTTCTTCACTCTCTCTCTCTCTCTCTCTCTGTCTTTTTCTCTCTGTCTGTCTTAATATTTATCTTTAGCTCGCTCTTCAAATACTCACATTCAAAAAATACAAATTTTAAAAACAATATTTGTACAGCAAAGTTTTTTTTCTTAATCGTTTGCATGTAATATTGCAATATTTTGTCAGCTCAAGTTATGCAAATACTACTATGTTGCTAGGGAAATGGAGACTTTGTATTATAAATATCTATATATATACATATATATATATCTATATGTATATTATATATATATATATATATACATGAATATATACAGATGATGTAGTTTTAGAGTTTGGTTGGTGTCAGGCGGCTTCTGGATCAGCGGATCAGTGGATTAGCGAATGTATATACATATATAAATATATATATATGTTATTTTCTTATTCTCAATTTTGGTGTGGGCTCTACGAATAACAATTTCTTACTATAAGTATGTGTACATATTTGTCTTACAGTTTTTGCGTTGCTTATCGATTTTGTTTTAACAATTTTACAAATTGGTTTAGTTCTGTTGGAATTCTCTGTGACGTAGTGGGTAGACTAAATCTTGTTGTTTATATACCCCAATGCCTTATACAAAATTATTGCTAACTGCATATCTCGTGTTTGATTATATGTTTGATGGTGTTTCGCTTCTTTACCGTACCATACATACATATGTACATACATACCACATAAGCTTAATCACATGAATACTCCTACATGTACATACACACAGTCGCACACACATAGAACATCACAAGTATCAAACACAATTAGCTGAATACATACACACTTGTAAATAAAAGACACGATGTTGTATTTATTATGTTTATTTTCCTTTTGTTTTGCTCTTTTTAATGGATACCCTTAGCAAACATACTTACATACATGCATATGCATACTCGTATGTGTACATAAATACCTACATAGTAGAATCGAATCATACATGTGTAGGTACTACATATACACAGACTTATGTCTGCGATGTATGCCAACTTTTGCCCAATCGTTAAGGTAATTCCACAATATTCAAATATTCAACATGCATATGCGACTAGTTGCTGTATACAAACAACCATTCATTCATACGCTTTATGCGCCTTAAATTCTACAATTAAATAGTGGAGTGTATGTGCCCCAAAAACCAACAAAAACAAACCAAGAATACCAAAATCTTAACCTAATCAATCATATTTAAAGCTAATATGCCATTTTATTAATCAATATGCATAGTGAAATGGCAAAATTTGTTTTGCTTCTTTTGTTTATTCGAGTTCGAGAAATCAATTTGTTACCAATGAAATTTTATCTAATCAAAAATCGAATACAAATGCTATTCGTTAGTTGCATTTTTAATTTAAAACAAACAAAAAAAAAAAGTGTTTCGGAATGTTGTATTTTTCTTTTCAAATTGCTCATCAAATTTTGCGCCCTCACTGTGCATAATTTAAATAAATGCAATTAAATAGTATAAGATAAATATGTATATATAAATCGAAGCAGTCAAATGTTAACGCACTTAACAAAAACAGGAAACTTACAATATCCATTCCTATTTAATTGCCATTACTAACAACAATAACAAATACAACAATAACAATAACAATAACAATAACAACAACAGCCACAATACCAATAACAACCACAAGTATCACAAGCCGTAGCGATACAGAATACCCACACCTTGCCCAAGACCCATGTCTTTCATCAATTTATAGCTCAACAATTATGGAGAACAAAATCAGATCTCGATTTTTAACAAAAAATGATGATTGCGGATAATTGGTTGTGCACAAAGTCAAAAAAGAAAAACCCAAAAAAATATATATATTCAATGATTACAAAACCCAAAAGCTACAGGAATAAAAAAAAAAAAACAAAAACAAAAAAAAAAAAAAACTGAGCAAAAACTTCAATATGTAATTGAGCGGCCAAACAGCAGCAAGCCAAACCCAGCTTAGAAGTCAGTTTTCAAAGCGAACCAATTCAAACGCGCGGTTCAGTTCAAAGGCGCAACTCCTAACTCAGAGAAACCTGGCGCCATTTGAATTGGGCCACAAGTTTGTGGCGTTCTTCGGGGCGGGGAGGCAGTGTTCTATATATGTAGCGCAGAGCTTTTTCAATTTTCTTATCTTATCTTACTACTAATATATACCCAGTATTATTCGATAGGCAAACACCTGTAAAATAACTAATATTCTCACTCAAGCAACAACTCAAAAAAACTAATATATATATATTTCAAATATATACATACATATATGTTTATAAACTTAATAATTTCTTTTATATACTGCTTTGAACTTTTTCTCTAACTTTACTCTTACTTACGCCGCAAGTAAACTTCAGTAAGCATTAAGAAAGAACTAAAGAACAACAACAATACACTCAAAAAAAAAAAAAAAACGAACTTAAAAACAGTCTGTTGTTATTTTTTTGTTTTTTTGTCATTTCCAAAATTTGATGTAAGATACAATGCGAATTTGTACATAGAACAGCAAATAAACATTAATGTGTATAAAGTTTTTACTTAATAAACAACAAACAGCACAACAAACACACACACAATACCAACAACTACTTAACGATAACGATAAATCAGGGAAAGGCATTCAAAAAACAACTACAAAAACGTTATAGGTGTTTGAAGACGTGGCGGCCAACGTCGTATAATGTATAATCCGTATACGACAAAAACAGAGCAAAAAAAATATATAAAATAAAATTACAAAATATAGTACTCGTATACCATGTAGAATGAGCGAAAAGCGAATTCGATAAATCGATATATTACCACAATGTTTGTGTAATTTTTGTGTCCTTCTAGGAACTTATTTCAATTGCATTATGTTTATGGTGGCCTCATCAGTTGTGTCAACCATACTTATCCTCAATTATCATCATAGAAATCCAGATACGCATGAAATGAGTGAATGGGTAATATTTATATTTAAACTTACTAAACTTAACTAACTTACTTGCTAACTACTTACTTACTTACTTACTTACTTACTTATTCAAAACAAAAAAGAAAACTATTCATTTTTGAGTTGAACTATCGATATAATTTCAATTTTTATTTCTGAGCGTTCTGAGAGATACCGATACGTTTTCAATCTTGCTTTTTTCAAAACGAAACGACCATTTCAATCAATATATTTGAAATACCAATCCTAACATCAAACACCCCACACTCCACACCCCACACCCCACCGTCCACACACTCCAGACATTCATTCGGTGAAACAAGAAACAAAATAATAAAACATGTAGTCCGAATGGAAATCACATTGTATATACTATTTATACCTACATACATATATATACCTAACTCTATATACATACATGCTAATCTCAAACTAAGCATATTTAAACGGTTAGACATGAAGTTAACTTTTAATACACTCGCATACACATTTACCCTCAAGTCATGTGCACAAACTAGTTTCTTATACTTTTATACTACGCTGCATGCAAAACATATTGCAAGTCATACATACAACCACAACAAATATGGAAGGAAAGCCTAATCAAATAGTTAGATTTATAGTCACAAAATACATATATATTTTGTAATGCAAAAAAAAAAAACATTCGACACGAAAATGTGACAACTTGTTCAAAAAGAAACATTCCTCGGCTTTTAAATGCTTTTCAAAACTGGCTTCTGATCTAAATCATAATCAAAGGAATTGTTTTAATTAAAAACAAACTAAAAGCTTTAAATATACCTCACTGAGTAACAAAAGCTTCACACGGCGTCCTTCAAGCCCGACTAAACTAAATGTTTCTAAATGTTTCCAGTAAAAATGTTATTTTTATGAGAACCTTAAATGCCAATACTTATTAAAAAAACAAAAATTGAATTAAATAAAAATGCTTTTAAGTAAATATTTTAAACTTATATATCTTTGTATTATACAGATTAATTAAAATAGAATATTATGCGATGTCTGTTTTAAACTTCTACAAAAAAAGTCCATAGCATACATATATTTATATCTATATATCTAGTAAATTCAAGCAGTCTGATTTGTTTCTTTTATGAATGATAAGATTATACTTGATTGCATTATAAGTCTTTCTATCTATACTTAGTTACTTGCATATGTACATATGACAATCAAAGCACAATAATCACACAAAATTTTTATTTTTCCAACAAAAATTCTGGCCAACAACTACAACAACAACAACAACAACTACTACTACAACAACATCTACGTTAACTGGCAACTCTCAACGCTAAAAAAAAACTAAAAAACTACTCAACTCAACTGCCTCTTCAAATATTTCTTTCTCTCCCTGTAACTAACTAACTATGCAACTAACTAACTATGCAACTAACTAACTATCTTCGTACAACTACAATAACAAAAACTACAACAACAACTACAACAACAACATCTACAACTCTTCACGTGGCCGGCACTTGCTTTTGGCCACGAAACGCGCGTGTTTTTTGCCATCCAACTCCTACTCACTGAACACCCTCACAATCACATACGACCAATGTGTTATTAACAACTTCAACAACAACAACATCAACAAAAACAACAACAACAACTACAACAATTAATCCAAAAACAAACAACAAAAAACAATCTATTCTAAACGTTACTCAACTTAAAACTGAAATAATAATACGAATATTATTAACATATTGAAACGTTAACGATTTTCCTATAAATAAACCTAAATTTCAAATAAATAAATCTCTCATTGGACATGAACAAATCATACAAAATATTTTCTGACTGCCGTGTTTCGTAACAATTTCATCAACAAACGAAACAAACATGAATAACGACATATTTCATTATATATTTATGAACACTACGAATTATAATAAAAAAATAAAAAAAAAAACACTTGCTAATCAAATAACTAAACAATAACATAAACTGCTTGAAAACAAAAAAAAAAATATATATATATAACAAATTATAAAAAAAAAACTAATACGGTTTATACAAAAAAAAAAAAAAAATTCCAAAAATATACTTATTGCTATTATTTTTAACCGCATTACCCAACACACTCCGTCTCTCTGTCGAACTCGCACACACAGATAAGAGTAATATTCCTTTATTGGTTACCTTGCATATTGCGCATGCAAAGACCCGGACAGGTTGGCTACGAATGTCCGCCGCCGCCCTCGTCTTCGGGCTCCTCCAATGCTGGTGACAAAAAGCAACAGATACAAAACGTTGAGCTCAAGGAAAGGTAACCAAACTCTCTCTCTCTCTCTCTCTCTCCATCTGTCTTTCTGTCTCTCCCTCTCGCTCTCGTCTCTCTCTCTCTCTCTGTGTGTTTGCGACACATTCACTTTCTGACTAGCAGCTGACCATCCATCAAATGCTCGTTCTAAACATATCGATACTACTATATAAGCGTAGTATCTATCCAAACTGAACTGATTCTCCATTGATTAACGTCTCACACTTATGCAATAGATCCTCTAAATCGCTGCTCGCCAATGTTCTCGACATTGATGACGACTTTCGCTGCAATCATCGCTGCACCAGTGCCACTTTACCCCATCAGCCCACTTACTACCGGACAATGTTTAGGTGAGTTCCGATATTGTCTAACAGCAAATGATCTCATCACGGATGGCATTTATAAAAAAAAAATAAATAAATAAGAAATATAACCCTTCATTAAATTGCAAGGTAAGTTAAAGGTATTTCTCAAAAGAAACACAAATGTTTGTCGCTGCACGCAATGTATTTTGACAGATTACAATTACAGAGCAAAGTTTATAAATGAATCCATCATTTTATTTTCAATCAAAAGTTCATAAAGTAATCAGTGCCCATTTTAACACAAATGATACGAATTTATATGTCATGGTCCGTGAACATCGCACCGTGAAAAATAAGCTGAAGTTCCATTTGTAATTTTTGCATGTAGATACAAAATAAAAGCATTTATGCGGACTGCGGCATACCCTGTTCTTCGTATATTAGCCTCCCAAACCTAGCTCGAAAAATAAACAGGCATCAGTTGCATCGAATAGGCTCAAGAGCCAACTTTAAAGTTATATGTAAAACTATTCAATATTGAAACTGAAGTTTTGAAAAAATCTTAACCTTAAAGATTTCAGATACCTTAGATTCCGAAGTAAATGGGGATTAGTATGCAAATATCTTGTTATTAAATTCAAACTCATGTTCTATGCGAAGTATTGCAAAAGTGCTTTAAATTTGTAGGCTGTATTTGCTTAATAGAAGATGTATTCTTCACAGTCAAACTTTGTGATACCGCACTTTCTATGGCAAACGGTTATCGATATCAAAAACAGAAAAACAGAAAAAAAAGATGACAACATTGGTAAGCAAAAAAAAAGAAAAAAAAAAACGAATACAAGCAAGAACAACTTCAACAAGCCACATCCTTATCCGCATCCGCATTCTCATCCTCATTCAGCACAGGCTCGAATGACAGTCAATGACAATGACAATGACAATATGTGTGGTTCAACAACAAAGAGACAACAGCAACAATAGCAACAACAACAGATATAACAACAACAACATCATCAACAAACGCAACAAAACATACCAGCACTTGAACAGGCCAGGAGAAAGTAGTGGCAAATGGCAAGGACACGCATTATGTGACAAGCACAATGAACAAATGTTATAGCTGAAAAATATAAATACAGTCGTTATATAAAAGACTAAGCAGAAAAGAACAGAACAGAACAGAACAGAACAGAACATAGTATACAATAAAACATCTCTCTCAGCTGAGCTCACTTGTCCATCCACAATAGACAACGATATTGGGTCAATAAGCTAGTACAAACCCCGTCACAATTACATACTCGTACGCCTACAAAACTACTGGGTTGGCTTACATATGCGCTTCACAGGAACAGGCTGACAATCCCATCACCCGTGTGCTCTAGAACAAATCGCTTGCAAGACAATTCCAATTCCAGTTCCAATTCCAAGACAATTCAATCACATAAAAACTTGCTAAGCAGCTGTGTGATTTGTTACATCAGATTCATATTGCAAAATTAAATGCAGCTATGTCGCAAGTCTTCAATTACAATGATAACTGCAAATCAAATAAATAGTCCTAAATTCTATTTTAAAATACTTACTGGCTCTCAATGCCACTCGAGTTATTCTAATGAATGTGCCCAGTGCCAGTGTGGGGCGCAATGTCTATAACTATTGTTGTTTAACGGGTTGTGTATTAAAATCGTTATATAATATATAGCACCTTCTCTCTCTCTCCCTCTATCTCTCTCTCTCTGTCTGTCTGTCTTTCTGTCTCTCGCATTCGCTTTGTCTTGTAGTGCAGTTTCTTAAGTCTGACACTCAGCGAGAACAAAAGCCAACAAAATGAAAAGGCTAAGGATATCGCATCACTGTCTCAAGTGTTTGCCATGTCAATAGCAATACTTTCCAAATAAGCAAATAAGTGGGTGCCGTATGCTACATACACTCAAAAAAAAACCAAATGCCATGCACTTTTGAAAGCAGCTCTGACAACTAAGAACATTTTCTGTTTTGTTTTTCAAATAATTTTCAAAAATTTAAAATTAAAAAAAATTAAAAAGGTTTTTTCTATTTTTCAATATTTAATATATATTTTTAAATATTAAATGCAAATCCTTAGTTCTTCTGTAAAGTACAAAACAGTAATTTACACTCTCTACTGCTACGTAAAAACAAAAAATAAAATAAATTATAAAAATACCAATGTCTAATTATAATATAATTAACAAGACAAATTGTATTGTCAGAGTTCTGTGTGAACACCCTGGAAATTAGACATATCTTTTGTAAATCTGATAAAACTGTGCCCTGAAATTAAGTACAGAATAATTTTCAGTTTTAGAAATATACTTACTGAATAATAAAGTGAGTTGGATTTTTACAAATACAGGGCGATTTGTTTTTTCAGTGTATGCATACATATACATTGTAAATACATACAATATACAGAATCGTCGAGCGTTTAACGTGAAAGGCATATTGATGAAATGGTTTTCAATGAGTTGTTTTCACAGGCAAGGCGACGATGGCAGTGTGGGCCCGGTGGGTCCAGTGGGTCAAGTGGGCCAAGTTGGACCCGTTGCCGCCGTAACCGATGCTCGCATGCACGAGGCCATTTCGCATACCTGTCTAAGCTCCTCGGCCGAATATGAGCTCGCCCTCATACTGAAGGAGCTACGTTGGATAACCGATCAGGTGCGTAGATGCTGAGCTGAACTGCGGTCAAATGGCCGGTTGCCAATCGATCGATGTTATTTGCAGCTGAAGAAAGAGGACGAAACAGGCGATATTACGCGGGATTGGAAATTTGCCGCAATGGTCGTGGATCGTTTGTGCCTTATTATTTTCACGCTTTTCACAATTATAGCCACGCTGGCTGTATTGTTTTCGGCACCACATTTCATTGTAAGTAGTCGCTGGGCTTTGAACTTGTCTTTTTATATTTATTATTTGTGTTCTTTATAGTTCCCGTAAATGCTTCACGCAACTCTCAACAGTGTCCACAACCCTTCGTTTTGAGACAAGTCGTACAAATATTATTTCTACTTTTGTACAATTTTAATAGAAAAACCAATGTATGAAAAAACAAAATAACAAACTAAAACTAAAACAAAGACAAAAACAAAAACAAAAACAAAAACCTGTAAAGAATACATAAACAAATGAATGCTTTTCAACTTAATGTTCTTTTGGATTCGATTCGATTCCTTTCACTTGAGTATAATTATAACAACATATTACTATATAATGTATAGATAATTTTTTTTAAACAATAAAATATAAAATAATATATTATTGTACGACGGTTTTAGTTATTTCCTTAACTACTGACTTCATAATTTAGATTTGTGTTTTTTATTACTGTAAAATAATTCACTGTTCATTTATAAGTATTTTCATATTTTCTATGATTTTTATTTTTAGTATGTAAAATAGCGTATACAAATATGTTGCTGTGATAGAAAATTGTATGAACAAAACGTAAACCAGTCACAATAAATTTCAAATTCGAAGTGAACAAAACAAAAAGTAAAAAATAAATAATTAAACAAACAAAAGAAAAGAAAAAGTAAATGCATAGACAACACACACACACACACACACACACACACACACACACACACGCAATCCGGTTAGTTGCTTGGATTTTGTTTATTTAATTTTGTTGTTTTTGTTTGTCAAGCAGCAACCAAAACTTGAAGAAGAAAATGTCTTAAATTGAGTAATTAGAGGAATAGTTCAAACCTGGCTTTTTAGCATTGAAATTGGCAATGGACAGTTGAAATCAGCTTGGCACTCAGTACCAAAAGCACATTACGCAATCTGTTTATGTATATCTACTAAGTACTATTATATATAGTTGCATAGCTTCAATTGTACCATGTCCTTTCGCAAACCGTGATTGTATCGACTTATTTAACATTGTCGACCTTTTTGAGCACTCAATTTGCACCGCATTCTTTAAATTAAACATACAAATTAATTATCAAAAGAGTAAAACAAAAAATACGAAATAAATGACAACCACAAACACTTGTGAGAAATCGAACAGAAGTTCGATTTGAATTGTTGTTACTGGATCAACTCAACATCTGAATACTAAAATAACAAACAACATGGCCAAACAACAACAACAACAAAAACAACACGAAACCAAACAAAACCGAAAACCGAAAACCGACAACCGAAAACAGCTAAGATATTGAAAAAGGAAAAAGGATAGGAAAATGCAAATCTAGCAGCATATGTAAGATCAACGCAGAGGAGCTAAACGGCATACCCGATGAGGAGGGAGGAGTTGAAAACAAAGTATAAAGTTAACTATTTTTAAATATTATATATACATATAAACATATATATATATGAGTAAAACATAAAAGCATGTAGCATATAAATGCAAGAGAAAGCAAATGGAAATTAAGTAAGAAATGCTTATAAAAAATAAACTAAACAAAATAACAAGAAAGGTAATAATAATTACAATACTTAGCATAAGTATTAGATAAAGTATAAAGCAAGAGGTTAGTCAAATATACATATGACAAATACTTAAGTAACATAATAATGTGGAAAAAACAGAAAACAGAAAACAGAAAACAAAAAACAAAAAAACCAAAACATAATTTAGACAAACAAATTTTTAAACGAAATTTCAACAAAGAACAGCAAAAAGTTAACAGCAAATTCGTGCGTAGCGTATACAAAAAAAAACAAGTATTTAACTACAGATAAGAAAAATCGAAAATATTCAACACAACACACATATGTATACACCCACACGCACACACACACACACACACAAACACACACACACCCAGATCAGACATGTATGTCATTTCCTTCTTTTTTTGTTGAGAGAGAGAATACTTGTTGCAATCGAAAATAAAACAATAGAAGACATTTAGACAATTTATACATATGTATCTTGCTTTGCATAGCACAGGAAAACAACCACAAATTGAAAAACACAGACAACAAATAAACAACAACAAAAACCAATACAATTGCGCTGTAAACGAATTATAATTTCTTGTGTCACATTGACATGCTTCTTATTACCAAATACTATATACATATATACATATATATATGTATATATATATACGCATGTATGTATGTATATATATATATATATATATTTACCTACATTAGCGTTAGATCAGTGCATTATCATATACATATAGCGAATTTTCAAATTTAAATCTCAATAAGCTAAGGAATGTTTTTTTTTTTTTTTTTTTTGTATAGCTATGTAAGACACCCAATAATTGTATGCATGTAAGCGTATTTTTATAGTCAGTGCGAAAGCAAACCAACCATACTTACATACATACATACATATATAATACATATGAACTAACATATGAATATCAATTAGGCAGCCAATTACATGTAACTCAGCAATATGCAATTCATATACATACATACATACATACATACATACATACATACATATTTAAACAGCTGCAAAAGAAACACCAAAAGCTGCTAGGGGCTATGCACAAAAGCAACGGTCTTCCTTAATCTTAAAAACACACAAAAACAAAATAATAATAATAATAAAAATGATAAAGTAAAAGAAAGAACATAAATATATAACTTATTTACTAACTATTAAACTGAAAGAAAAACTACATTAAACCCAAATGTTTAAACCAAAACCTTAAAGCAAAATAATACTATAAACCTAATCAACTTAAAATGCATGAAAACTTAACTAAAACGTTCGAAAGTAAAAACTAAAAACTGTTAAAAACTAAAAAAAAAAAATACACAATGCTGTTAGCCGCCTGTAAGCCTAACAGCGGAGCTTTTAGCGTCGTCTAGCGACTGCACATAAAGCTCTGCCCCAAAGCTGACAATGTAGCCATCAAATATTTTTGGTCTAAAGCTTGCGCAGCCAATTGGCATAAAGACCATAAAAAAAGCTTGAAGCTATAAAGCAGCAAACTGAACAAACATATATATTAGAAAACTAACGAAATGCTTTCCACGCCTGCTGACGATGCGAACTTTTGCTCAAAGGTAATTTTATAGTCAACTAAAAATACATTTTATAAATTCCATACTTTGGATATTCGAATACGTAAATACTTGAAAAAACCTTACAATTTTTGAATCTCGAGTGATTTGTTGTTAATTTTCAAAACACTTTCCATTGTTTGGCAATTGCAAATTTTAAAATACAATTATTGCATTAATTACACTTTGAAAAGTTACTTTTTGCACTTTTGAATTGCAATCGATTCCGATTTTATTTATCAGAGCAGTTTTAATATTAGTGAATTGCACTATCCATTTGAACATATTGAAAACCTTGAGACCTGTTTCACATCAGGGATTTTCCAAATTCTTGCCTACACTGATTTGGTTTATATATATATATACATATATGGAATTACCTCAAGTATAGTACTGCGGTCAGCTTCAAGCCCTTGTGACCATGCTCGGCGGCTAACGACTGGATTATGTATGTCTCCAAATATATATAATACTTGTTAAATGCAATTTAAAATGCTTGAATTACGCACTTAAACGAAACTACAATTTAAATAATAACAAAAATGAATAAAAACTCAAATACTAAAAACATCTACTTAAATCAACCTTTAACTAAATGTTGCTTGAATACTAGAGCCAATTAATGTGAAATGCATTCGGCAGCGAATTTACTACCAAAAGCAATTCAGTTAAAACAAATAATTAAACAAACAAAAAAAAAAACAAAAAAAACCGAAAGGAAACGCAAAATTTAAAGCCTAATAAAAACGCAGTGTATCGATAATAATAACAACAAAATCAACAACAACTAAAGGGTAATTTTTTCCTCGTAGCATTGCCAAACAGTTTTGTTGTACAATTTGTTTATTTGTGATTGAGATAAGTTATTTAAATTTACAACAACAAAAAAGAAAAAGAAAAGCCCAAAACAACCGTTTTTGATAATCCTTTTTTTTAGTAAGAGCTACATTTTAAATATGTATTAATAATGTAAATGGTTTCAAACATACACAAAGTATTCAAAATCACGAATATTAGCAACAACTGCGTTTTATACATATGAAAATGTCTCAATCAAACCATATTCAAGGACTCACACAGATTTGTACAGGATTGCCTGAAAAAGAAAACAAAAAGAAAACAAATCAGCAGCAGTAATCTTAAACTTAAGTTAGATATTTGCCCATCAAATCTATTCTAAAATCTTGCTAAAGAATACCAACTAATTGGATTGCTGCAAGCAATGTCATTTTTTGTTTTAGCCATCAATCCAAATTATTCTTTCGAGCTGTTCTTCACCTAAAAAATGTTTGAGCCATTTATCATTTAGGTAATTTGACATATACGAGTATGTATAGACAATCGCCAAAAATAATACTATAAATATCATTTTGACAATAGGTAAAGGTTATGGAACTACTTACACACACATACATATATAAATGTATTGACAATTGACGTTTAGAAATAATTTTCGATTTTTCGATCTTTTTTTGTGTGCCCCTTTAGAATGGTTTAATCACTTAAAATGCCAGGAATTTAACACACACTCAATTGGCATCCACTTACAATAGTATTAACAACTACGAGTATATATATGTAAACGGCTTACTCAACGAACTCAATGAGCACCTCAACTTTATTCGGTTTCCAAAAAACAAAAAATACAAAAATAAAGAATTCATGCTACTCTATACATGTATCAAGTACCAAACAAATTGAACTTGCTTTAGTTTCAAATAAAGAAAAAAGTGTGGAAGGACTAAGGAAAGGTACGCACACACACACACACACACATGAGTAGATGATACCAACTATGCGTAAAGAACTATTCTCAACACACATGGAAAAAAGAAATAAATATAAATAACTACTTATACAGGCTTTGCTTGATTTGTACACATATCTAAGCAAATTGTTCGAAACACTTTCAATTGAAAATCAAAATCAAATCATAAATGGTAATAAATATACTAAGAGTGAGACCTTCAAAACAAATATGCCATATTCGTGTCATTTCCTCAACTTCAGAGTCTCAACATTTGAAAATCTAAGAATATAGCAGTGCAGACACATCTACTAAATACTATTCAAGTCAAGTTTCTTAGTCAGAAATATATCTTAAGTTTAGGTTTAGTTTTTCGATAATTTCCATTCATAATTACTGCTCGTTAGCTGAATGTAATTTTGTATATGGGTCCTGTGAGACCTGCAAAGTAAATATGCCATATTTTTCACAGTATCAAAATTTGAATATCTGAGATTAGAGCAGAGCAGACACATATATAAATACTATTCAAGTCGTGGTTCTTCAGTTGAGGTTCATTTTTGTGAGAGTTTCTTTTCATAATAATAGTTGGCAGAAGTCATTTTTATATATGTAAATTCAAACATGCAAAATAGTACATATTCACTCAAGCATGTATTTTGTATTTTGTATTTTGTATTTTGTATTTTGTGTTACACATTTGAAATTCTTTGCGGAATTGAGGTCTTCGTATGATTTGCCCAATACAAACATTTAACAGCAATAAATGGAGTATACTAAAGCATTACAAATGATTTTAGTGTAAAGCAATAATCTAAAAAATAATAATTAAGGTGACACAGTTAAACACACACAAACATACATATATATATAAATATATTGACGACCACATGACACACAGACAGTAATATGTATATATATATATATAAATATATATAAAGTGTGTTCTCGTTGGTGATGAGTTAACAACTAAGTTAGTTTAGGCCGGCTTAATAAGACAAATATATTAGCTGTAAGGCAAATTCATCTGAGTAAATTGATATTTAAGTACATACAACATATTTATTAGCAGTGTTGCAATTAAGTGCTAAATGACAACAATACATCAAATTTACAGGCCAAACGATGTAATTTAAATACATTGTCTTGCATATGATATACATATGTATGTATGTATGTAGTAAGTGCATAAATACATAACTAAAACTAGTGTTTAGGCCAATGCTACATATTGAGCTCGTGACTTACATTCCAATGGTAATTAAAGACAAAACCGTAGAACAATATGAATGAAAACTATAATAAAATAAACTTAAGCATATACACGCAACACACACACACACAACACATAGCAGACAGAACAAGGTCCTTAATCTAAAAGTGAAATTTGAATTGAATTGATTACACAGTTTGTCACAGCACATATTAAAACAATGAATTCATTAACAAATAGCCTGACAACCAAAAGAATCTTCAATGCTCAATTTAATGGTCATTGTAGAATTCACGTCATCAATTTCGAGATTCTTCCTTTTCTAACACTTTTGGTATATGTTGTGTGCCATAAAATGTTGCATCATTTTTGGCATGTTTTCCATCAAACAGTTGGAGCTCTCTTCGAATAGTCAATCGAAAATTGTTGTTATTGATTTACAAGTTTTTGAAATTGACTTATATTGACACTTATAAAAGATAGTATTGATACTTCACTGGTCTAGGACAATAAATCGACACAACAATGCCACAAATTGTAGTTATCAATATTTTATATGGCTTATTCGATTGATGTATACATACACACGTCTACTCGAATTCCAATTTAATTCGGCAGAACACATTATTGCAACAAATACATAAGATAAAACTTAAACAAAACCAAAACAATGAATGCAACAAAATGAATTCAATATAAAAAAGCATATGGTTGTATGGTTGTAACTAAAAATACACAAGCAATTAAAGTTGAAAATAAACATGATTTTAGAATGCAAATAAATAAGACGCAACATTAAACAAAACTCTAAATACAAGAAAACATACGGAAACTATTTAAAAGAATAAAACACAAGCAAAAACCCTAAGAGAAATATTACACAACAAATGAAAAACAAAAAACGAAAGAAAAGCAAAATACATTTACGTACATACACATACATGCATTAACTAATTAACACTAATAAAAGCAAAGCAAAAATATAAATAAAAAAGCAAAAAAAAATAAAATTAACAATAAAAATTTAAATGCCAACAACTACTCAACGGCAAACATGTTAACTTAGTAAATAAAACGCAAGAAACGATACAATATGCAATTAAATAAAATGTTTTAAACAATAAAAAAGGAATATTAAAGAATGCAAATCCATATGGAATTAAATGAAGAAAGGTCTTTTTACTGGGATCATCTCATTTATATGATGAAATTGAAAATATCTAGCAAACACTTAAAGTGGCAGTTTTTTTTTGTAATGATGAATGAAAAACATGGCAATTTTACATAGTCTTTTGCACTTTGCTGTTTGGTTTAACGGATTTAAGCGCAAAAAGTACAGCATAGTTTTAGGCACGCACCGGGAAAATTACACTAATTTTGCGTGGGAAATATGGTCACTCTTTGCAGGTTGCCGCACTGACCGAATTGAGTAAAACTTTGCATACTTTGAGGCGCAAAACAGGCGACTTGAAAATACAACATAAAATTTCGCATAATTCCGAAAGGACAAAGTGCGCAATAATCACCAGGACCAGAACTGTCCTCAACAATATGTTTAGCACAGAATTTTATGGAGCTACAAGGTTAGGAACAATTATTTATTTTTGAAATAAGTAATTTTATTATTTTTTATTTATTATTATTTATTATTATATATCGTACGTGAAAATCGCTGCGTTTTGCAACAAAACAAAATTTTATTGTAGTTGGTAAACTCATTAAAATAAAGTTAATGGAACCTCAACATTCAGCGGATGTGGCAACAGTTAGGGATAATAGGTATTTTTGAAGCGTCCTTCGCGATTCTTGCGTCCACCTGGCCGCACCACACGCGGCACATACTCCTTGTCGTGCTGGTCGAGAGTGCGTCTCCACGGATTGACGTCCCGCTCAAAGAAGCGACGACGCGCCTCCATCGGCCGTGTCTTGTTATCTATCTTGTACAGCTTCTCCCACATGTAAACCTCGGGCAGCTCAAGATGCCGAGGACGCTTCGAGGCCAAATGCTTGAATGTTCGTTCCAGAAATTCACGCTGCTCCCCATTCTCATAATCTGCGGCACGTCGCAACGTTGCTCCGCCCACATAAGGCAACAGCTCGTCGGCAGCGCGACGAATGCTCGGCACCTTTATGTATACGCCAAGCAACCGACGCAGTGTGGCATCGTTGAAGTCCACACATTTGCCCTCCGGCGACATTGTCGCATAGAGCGGCTGCGGTGCTGTGCCCCGACAGAAGTTCACCTTAGCATTCGCATCCACATGTGGGCCATGGAGCAGCAGCGTGTTCAGCTGATACTCATAGAAGCTCCACTCGCGGCCGTTTGTGATCACAGTCTGGGTGTTCAGCGGATAGGTCAGCTCGTTGTAGGTATTGAAGCCATTGTAGTTGGCCTGCGCCAGCAGCCACGCGTACGATGATTGAATGGCCAGCGCATGCAGTGCCTCCACCTGGTCACGTTGACCGTATGAGTCCGGACGCAGCTGTAGATGTGCCCGCGACTGAAACGAGAGCAATCCGAAATTGGCCGCATTTGTGCTGGGCCAGTAGCCGGGCACATTGACAGCATGCTGATGCGTGGTGCTATAGCCCAAGGTGCGTGCATCATGCTTGTAGCGCGGCACTTTCATGGCCAGCGTCAGATTCTCGCTCTCCTCGGCCGATTTCCACGGTGGCAGTTGTTGATGATGCCGCAGCGCCAAATACGGCTCGCCAGTATACTGCACCAGACGGTCAACGCTGTCATTGGCGTCCTCCTTCTGCCATTCGCGGCCCTTCTTTGATTTGATCACATTATTGGGCGGATCAACGCCGCCGACGGCCCAAAAGGCCTCGTGCCGCGGATTGTAGTCAATCTCGACGTCATGCAAATGCGTAAAATCAGCGCCAAGCACTTGCAATGCGGAACGATTTATCTGCTCCACAATAATCTGGGTCAGCTGCTGTTCGCCTGCCACTGCATCGAGCGGTGTCACCAGCTGCGTCAGCTGGTGTCTGCAACGGATAAATTGGATTAGATCCGATTTGCAGGCTGATCTGATTGACTTACTTGTAGCAGTCATGGGCATATTCCAACGCTTCAATAATATCGTTACGCGCCACCTTCACGATGGCATCCAAATCCATCTGACTGTCGTCGACGGCTCCGACTGGCTTGGACGCGGGACTGCTGTCAGGCTGCAGCTCCTCCTCCAACTCCAGCACGGTGCGCGTGTAATGCTGCGTCAGCGGCAGGGCGTTAAACGGCACTTTAGTATCATTGAGATCGACCACCTTGTAGCCGTAGTAGCGCGGCATATTTATTTTGATCATTTTCTCCTCGACGGTGGGTAGCTGGCGAATCTCCTCGTGCCACTCAGCGGCTGTCTGTTGCTTGCGCGCCTTGTAGGTGAGATCCCTAATGGCTGGATACTCCGGTTCCACACTATATTCTGATTCGGCCACTGGCGCTGCCGCTGCCTGTGGCTCTGCCTTGCCGATGGTCAGGTAGCGGCAGCAGACGGCATGTAGACGCGCACGCAGCTGCTCTCCACGTCGCAGCGTCAACATTTTGAGTGCTTCAAATGTTTAATTCACAACTATTCAAGTAAATAAATTACGAACGCAGCAGAGCAGAGTTGGTCGCCGCCAACGAGGAGGTTATGACATCGGGACTGCGATGAGCGATAACGATTGCTTATGACATATAAATATATCGATATCAGCATACGAATACATCGCACTCGCTGTAGCCCAGTATGCAGCTCAAATCGTTACTTGCATATATTATGCGGGCAAGATGATATTAATATTACTCCATATTGATTTAATACTCCATTAATTGTTGTAGCATTTCAAAGTAACTGTATCAACTGCAATTTTATGTTAGCATAAATGCAATAAATATGCACACAATTCAGCTCAGCGATAGCAAGGCGTTTGTATATGCCACTCTCTTTATCAATTAACAGTGTGCTTGCCTCGGATGACGATCACTTTGTTCTTTTGTACCATATGTAAAACTGGTAATCAGTTGGCATATGTGTGCATGTATTGAGTTTTTCGGGTTCTTCCCAAATAAATGTAATCCCCAACTGTCCTGTCGGCATTACATTTCATCATTTCGCGCTGACCAGAGCCAGAGCGATATCCCCATATCTTATCAAGTGGGTACCAATACTTATGTATTTACTTCTGTGTGCACATTCGTTTTCAACATTTATTAAAATATTGATAAACAAACCTTTAGAGCGACGTCACGCGCTCTAACTCTAGACCTAGCACACAAAATTGTAAGTACCAAAAATGTCCAATATACCCAAAATGACAGCGGCTCAGGAGCGCACCCGCGAGTGGTTGGCCGCACAGGAGGAGGATGAGCTGGAATCGATAGCCGAGTCATCCGTGGTGGACAGTTTGGATGACTACAAATATAGCGAGCATACGCAGGAAGACAACGACAATTGCAGCGACAATGACAACGACGATGACGACGATACTGGCGAAGAAGTGAGCACCATCGCACTGGGCACACGAATGGGTGAGTAATAAAAGTTGACCACATACACATACACATACACATACACATATGGAAATGTATGTATTGAGAGTGTTGCGCATATTATTATTTATAAATACACACATACGGCAGGCGCTAGCAAAGGCTCCATTATAAGAGACACTCTGCGCGATCTCATGAATTCGATCAACAGCATTCAGACCGTTGGCAATGTGAACATCAGTAATTCCACCAATGTCCACATTGGCAATGTGACCAACATCAACGGTAATATACAGATCATCGCAGAGACGACCAGCCACCCGCGCAGCTCACGCAAAGGGCGTCGAAGAGCCTCACTCGACGAAGAACCCGATCCAAGCGGAAACGATCGCGAGGAGGAACTGGACGAGGCGGAGGAGCGTATCAATTCTGATGCTTTCATCAATAGCCAAAGTAAGTAAGCAACAACACCAACACACACACACACTGCCTGAACATTAAACATATATCCTAATATCAATTTTAAATTCATATTTAACAGAATTCAAATTACCCAAAGAGCTGTGTTCCATTGTGCCGCGCCACTCCTGGCTAGCCCAAATGCCGATCGAACCGCCCGTGAAGCTGCAGCGTCCCGTCAAATATGTTGTCATATGTGAGTATGAAATCCTACGGCGCAGGCAGCGGCGAATATAGATACGTAGTACGAGTGCAGAGGGTACAAAGCATAAACATTCATATTATTCATAAACATCAACAGCCAAATCAATACAATCAATGAAGCTTGTAAGATATATTTATATCCGTATATATACCACAACAGAATAGAGTGCTCTTGATTCCTGTTTTCTGTTACACAAATAAATATGGTAAATATTCAAAATGTTTATGTGAGTGCCGTCCATAAAATAAATTAACTGTCGCCCGAGTTAAACACACGACTTGGCTCTCTTGCTAATAAAGACCGTTTAGTAGCACTTAACTAGATAGCAAGTATCGACATTATATATATACAGCTGAAATATTAACATTCCATTTTCACCTTTGCACCACCATAGTACACACGGCGACGGAGAGCTCCGAGAAGCGGGCAATCAATGTGCGATTGATACGCGATATTCAGGTGAGTGTTTTCTTATTGCACATTCAGATTGACTTCAAATGTGTAATTGTGTTTTTGGTGTTTGTGCAGTGTTTCCACATCGAGAGTCGTGGCTGGAATGATATTGCGTACAACTTTCTTATCGGCTGTGATGGCAACATATATGAGGGGCGCGGCTGGGAGACATTGGGTGCACATACCATGGGCTACAACAAAATTGCCCTAGGCATTGGTTTCATTGGCTGCTTCATGCGTAGCCTGCCCACGCCGGATGCGTTGCACATGTGCCGCAATCTGTTGGCTCGTGGCGTCGAAGATGGACACATTGCCACAAATTATCGCCTAATTTGCCACTGCCAATGCAACTCGACAGAGAGTCCCGGTCGTCGGCTATTCGAAGAGATCCAGACTTGGCCGCATTTCTACAATCTTGCCCAGGACGGACAAAGCAGTATATAAATATGAATATTGGTGATTGTCGCGTTCTAATAACTCAGTATAAATTGTTTCGTGTTTGTTCTGTTGCATTTCTGTTCGCATTACAACAAAAACAAAAAACCAAATAAAAATAAATATATATTTATATACGTGTGATAAAAGTATTCTTAAATTTCGTAAACCCGCCGATAAAATATGAACACATTAATAAGATATTCGTCGGTCAGTTTTTAAATTGTTTTCATATTTAATTTCTGTTTTAATTCGTATTATTTAATTATGGAAACATCTTAACATTTTGCCATTGCTCCTTGAAGACCGCCAGTTGTTTAGGAAGCGTCAGTTTCCGATTTGCGTGCTGTTCAAATTGTAAATAAAGAAAGAAAAAGTTAGAAAAATATATAGATATAGATATATATTGTCAAAAAATAACGCAGCGCTTGCAGTAAGTTAAAAACAATGTCGACAATTGGCGGATATTCAATGGAATTTTGTAGCACATTTGTTAATAAGGATCTTATTTTTCATTCTATTTTAGAGTGGTTCCATCTCACTCGCTCTGTCAGACTGTGCGCTCTTTTTCATCTCGAGGCAAATGGGGATATTGGATACAGAGCATATTTGGTGAAATACTCAGAATGGTTAAATTATGAACACATTTGGGGCAAAGTAAAATCAAACAACATTAGTTATGACTATTTGGGAGCATTGTTAGGCAGCAGTTAGGCCGGCTGATTAGTGTTTCATTGCGGTTAATATTTTGGTTCTTTTTTGGAGCAACAGAGGCATGACAACAACAACATTGTTCTTGGGCAGTAACTCAATAACTTACACCTTGCCACATGACAGACTTTCGTTGTTTATGACAACTATTGCTTCTCATCTGCAATACACAGAGAACAATTGTATAATAATTGTCTACATTTTGGGAACGAACGTAAAATAGATGCGATTTATATAATCGATTATCACATCTCGCATTGGTATAGGCTGGAACTTTTAATTGATCTCGGATCCCTTCGATTGCACAACGATTACGGGTTACGTTTACGGATTACGGATTACTTACGTGCTGGCCTGCCGTTGGCCCAAGGTGTGAACTTCACGTGGCTCTCGTTGCGCTTGGCAGCACTGGCGCGGAGGTCTGTACGCAGCGCTTCACGCAGGACACGAGCCGCAATGTTCGAGTATTGGATGTAACTGGCGAGTATCAAACAAGTATCACATGAGTCGTCCATTAAATCATTGACTGTGTGTGTTTGGCAAATTATTGCTAACAACAATTACGTAACGCACATAGTAGTTGGTGCAGAGTGCGGACATTGAAGTGCCGCCGCTGCACAAATTATGCATTCGGCAATGGTTTTTGCATATTTTACTTACGTAATTCCAGCTGCTCTCCAGGCGTTGGTCATCTTGATAAATCTTTTCGCAACTTATTCGCACGGTGAACGAAAATTGAGACCTTTCGCAGTGCAGGCGCTTACAGAGTTGTCGAGGAAAACAGTTAGAGATGTTTGATATTATCGATATATCGATTAATTCTAACCGAACTTTCAACACTACCAATATATCAGTGCTGGGTCGATATGATTTTTCACGATATTCTTACTATTTGCAGGATATTCGGTTCTACTAGAAATGTTTAATATGGACGTGGAACAAAATCTAAGCAAACATTTGAAACTAAAGTTGAGCTAGCGGCTACAAAGTGTTTATTTTATTTTTAAATTTATTTAATAAGTTAAGGATATTTCCAATTCGATAACTATTTAATAATAATCAGACATATCGGTCTATCGATGTTTAGCTGCATCTATTGGTCTCATTGCGCTCAGCTTTGTTTGTGTTGCATCTCACTTGCACATGTGGGAAGAGTTGTTGTTTAACACCAATGGCTAATTAGTTAACCCGTTTATTAAGTCCATATGATATCAACCTCAATAGAAGTTTGTTTGAAACGTGCACAGAATTAATAATTTTAATAATGCATAAATATTATCACAGTGTGTAATCACTTCGCAAATCCGTTAACATTCGGACATATTTCGAGTGGGAGTATGTTAAAAGCATGTGCCGCTAACTCAGCCAAGGGTTAAGGTACAACTTAACGCATTTCATTTAACAATTTCACAAATATTAATCCCAGCCGAACCAACCAAGTGCCTAAGTCGTCCGTGCAGCGCAATGTCTGCCAAGCCGCAGATATTAATTATTGAGCCCTTTTTCGGCGGCAGCCACAAACAACTCATCGATACGATAATCGAATGTAAGTCAAGTTTTATATTTATTTGTGTTATTTCCGGGATAGGGATTCCAATATGGAGCCAGCCTCTTGAGTGGAGTCAAAACAAAACGAAGATAGCTGAATTGAGGGTTAGACACGTCCTAAGAAAGCAGGTGCAATCGCCTCCTACCAGTGGATCAAGCTGTCGCCTGGCAGAGCCTGCCATGCAAGGCCAGGAGAATATGCAGTATTCCATAGGGAAATATGTCTTAAGCTCGAAACACAACCCAGTCAACATTTTTGAAATCATGCAAGAATTAGGACTGATATAATATGAAATATAATCATTATTTTCGTTGTTTTTAATTGATGAAATTGCTTATGATTTGCTACCGGCAGGTTTGAACCTTTGCGACTATGAGATCTTCAGTCTGCCCGCCAAGAAGTGGCACTGGCGTGCCCGGACCTCTGCTTTATATTTCTCGCAGCTAATCCCGCCGGAGCACGACTACAAAGTGCTCCTCACGAGCTCCGTACTCAACTTGGCGGAGCTGATTGGTGTACGACCCGATCTCGCCATCTGCCGCAAGATTGTCTACTTTCACGAGAACCAACTGGTCTATCCGGTGCGCGAGGTCAAGGAGCGTGACTGTCAATATGGCCTTAATGAGATACTCACGTGGTAAGACCAGCTCTGCCGACATTTCCAATGCCATTTCGAATGCCAATGCACCCTTTGGACATTTCAGCTTGGCTGCGGATATTGTGCTGTTCAATTCAAACTTCAATCGGACATCATTTCTGGACAATGTGCAGCCGTTTCTAAACATTCAGCCGGACTTTAAGCTGAAGCATATCCGAGAGCGCATCGAGAAGAAATGTGAAGTGCTATATTTTCCCATCAAGTTCCATGCCTTTCCCAATAAGCGGCACATGATGGATGCGGATATGAATGGAGAGCCTGAGTGTCTGCATTTGATTTGGCCACATCGCTGGGAGCACGACAAGAATCCCAAATTGCTGATGGAGGTGCTATTGGAGTTGAACAAGCGCCAGGTTGACTTCCGGGTGACAATATGCGGTGAAAGCTATCAGACGGTGCCGGAGGACTTCGAAGGCATCCAGGAGAAGCTGGGCGCCAAGCTCAGCAACTTTGGCCATTTAACACGCGAGGAGTACATTAAAACGCTGCTAACCGGCGATATCGTCATCTCGACGGCTGGTCACGAATTCTATGGCGTGGCCATGCTGGAGGCCACCTATTGCGGCTGTTATCCGATTGCGCCCAACAAGCTCGTCTATCCGGAGATCTATCCCAAGGAGAACCTCTACAATACGTCCAATTCGCTGATTAAAATGCTTTACAACTGGTGCCGCCATCCGGAACTCTTTCGCCGGCATCGCGATAAGTTCTTCGACTACTTCTCCTTTGAGCGCTACTCGGCGCAGCATTTGGTGCCCAAGTATATGGAAAAGATGCGCATTTCAATTTAGAGGTGCTTCCAAGAAAAAACAAAACAAAACAAAAAAAATAATATTATAATTCCAGTTGCTGTTTTGTGCAATTAGCGTCGAATTTAGTTTGTAAGCAAAGCGAACATTAACTGACCAATTTACCATAAATAATACACATAACAGTACTTATATGTATATCAACTATATAGTTAAAAGCAATATGTGTATATGTATGTGTGGCTTTGTAGGATTATGCAGCAACAGTTCACAATTGTTTTCCAATTAATGATTAGATTTTTTTACACAATTGTTACTATATATTTTTGCTAATTGTTAGCAAATTGTTGTCATCAAATACTCAGTGCACAGAGTTACAGATAAGAACTGCCTTTGTTATGCCTCCTAAATTGATTGTGCTCATAATTATTTGTTTACCCCAAAACGCCTTATTATTGTTAGATTAAATGCTCTTGGATTATACACATATATGCCATTATAAATGCGGAAATTATATCTAAACTCGCATTAAGAACTAATTTCTTGACGCCATTCTTCTAATCCATGTAACTCATCTCTCTCCTTCTGTCTATATATTTCTTTCTCCGTCTTTATGATGGGTACTGTATGTAAATAAATTTTAATTACGACTTGGCAACACATCAATAGCTAGCTTTAAATCTACTTTCTTTAATATTGAGTTTTATTACATCCATCTAATGTAAACATTAGCTTAAAACAAGCTGTTTTAATCCAGGAGTACCGAATACTTTAAAAATAATAATATTAATAATAATAAAAACATAACGCTTGGACATACAAAATGATCATTAAAATAAGATATATAATAAGCATGGCCTACAGCAAGTTGCATTAGAAGTGATTCTCTTTAAAATTGGGCGGCGCACTGTACTTCTCCTTGGCATGAGCACGGTATTCCTCATCGTCGTGACACTCGCGATAGCATTGGGCGCAGTAGAGATCACCGTCACAGCCGTGGCAGCGGAAGACGGCATCCTCATCACATATGTTGCACCAGGGCAGCTCCTCATTAATGCTGCTGCTGGGATTGTTTGTAGTGCCCAGTTCGTTCTCCAAAGGATCGCCCGTTGGCTGCAAACGTGCTTCGGCCACATACTGTAAATGGACAGAGACAGACAAAGATGAGAAAAAATCCCAAAAGCCATTTCAATCATTTAGGGCACACCTTCTGCATTATATTCTGCAAAACAGCTTCGTCGTTCTCCTCCTCATTGTCGCTTGGAGTATTGGTCGTTCCTAAGCCCGCTGCTACAGCTCCCGAACCGGTCGGATTATCGATGGGTGCATCGCGAAGTGCACGCAAACGTTTCTCAATGTCAGAGATTGCATCATTCCGGTCATCGTTGACACGTTGATCCAGCTGCGTTTCGCCCAGAAACTGCTGCAGCAGATCTTTGATTTTATCCTGATCGGTTCGTTGGTCCGTCGACAACAGCAGTTCCTTTTTATCATAGTTCTTCTGATGCGGCATACCACTCAAATTGGACAGACGCGCACGCAACTCATCATCACTGGTCACATCGACTGCCTTCAGATTCTGCAAACGTTTGCTAATCGCGCTGTCCAGATTCTCGTCAATATCCTCGGTGCCGGTTGTGTCTTGCGCTGAGCCGGCCTCAGCACCAAATGTAGGCGACAGCACAGCAGCCAGTTCTTCAGAGGGCAGCACATTGCTGCAAAAATTGATACACAAAAAAGGCTTGCATTTGCATTGTAAACGAGAGTCATTATGATTGCAAAAAATGTTAACGATCAGATCACTCTGATCCGTAGCTTTCATAGGAAGGGTTTGCTTGAGTATGACATCTACGATAACTGTTTTTTTTTTTCATTTTAAGAAACTAGTCTCATTGGAGGGTAGTTTCTAGGAGCGGATTGACGACTGAAGCTGGCTTACTGCTTATGATTACGATAGTCTTGGCAACTAACTCGAAAAGTGCATCTGTTTTTTCAGCGACGGCGTCTGGCGACTTAGTGTTCTTTAAGGGCAGGCGCAGCTTGGTCACCAGGTCACCGGGCAGGGCGTCGCAGTCAATGACTTTGTCGGCATCGGCGTTGGCCTGCATCTTGGACAGCTTGTCGTAGCAGATGAGGCACACGTTGAGCACCTTGTTGTCATGACGGGGCACATTGATTGGCCTCTTCAGGCACTTCGCGCAGTAGGAATAGCCGCAGTTGGGGCAACCGTACTGAAATAATCCAATTAGAATTACTTATTGGGAACATATGGAGCATTTGCTGGCAGCGGTTCACCTCCTTGCAGAAGAGTCCATATTTACGGCTGCAGCCGTAGCAGCTCATAATGTGGGTTTTGCTAAAAATATACAACAAAACAAAGTACACTGCAAATTTGCTACTAATTTATTTTTGTTATCATGAAGGTGTAAACAAAGATTAGGCAAAACCAGCGCTCTGACTCACCAATCGATATATCGATATACATTTTCGATAACTAACAGTCACTGTTGTCACTAGGCAGGCAAACTTTTTCAAACTTTTTAAACAAATACAAAATTGTTGAGCAATAGCATTGCACACACACACGTTTGTCATTTATTTATACATGATCCTTTGAAGACTACAGCATACAAATATTAACATAAGTTTTGATTCGCTGCCGCAGATTTCCATTTAATGCACATATTCACAATTTCACCAGCTTCTTTCACATACCTCATAACTATAATTTAAAAATAATTAATCAATATGTATTTGTTAAAAAGAAAACCTATTTATATTGAAACGATGCAGGGAATGTATGTTTTTCATTGTTGGTCATGACTAATATGCATATTAATTTATATATATATATATATGTGTGTGTGTATGTGTATGTATGAATGTAATTATAATTATATTTAGTATAAATGCAAAATACAAAATTTCATGCGTGTTTTTTTTTTGTATATCGTGTTGCGCATATTGAGCCTTATGCAAAAACACTTTTAAGCCATTAAACCTAAGCTTGTGGGATAAATACATATATAACTATATGTATATATATATATATATATATATATATATATATATATATGTTTATATATATGTATACATATCTATATTATCTATACATATATATATATATATATATATATATACATATATATACATATATGTGTTATTTCAAAGCTGTGTATTCTTGGTTAAGGAAACTTGCGTTATTTTTTTGTATAATGGGGAAAAAAAATTCCGAATTCCCGTGAAATACACGAGTAAATACTTTCATTGCTAAGATCAAGCGGATGGGTCGGATTTGGATTTGGATTTCGTTTTGTGGGTTATGCGTTGTTGCTTCAATTGCTAAGTGCTGGGCGCTGAGTGCTGAGAGCTATTCGGATGGAGTGAGATCGCGTTCCGGTTCGTTTTCATTGAGTATTTGCGAGAGCAAATCGTGCAATGGTTCGAGTATTTTTTTGGCGCCGGTATTGGTTAGATTCTTATAGTCGAACATGTCATGATGGCTGATGCTGCCGTCTCCCTGCACTAGGCCCTTGTCAATGGCAACGGTCTGCACGCGATCCAATCCCTTTGTGTGCTCCTTGATTAGTTCATTGATCTCCGCATTCTTCTCACGCAGCGCATTCGGTTGCTGGCCTCGTGGCAGAAGTGACTGCAAGTGCAATTGAAAAAAAATAAATGTAAGGACATGATAATGATAATATAATAAGTCATGTGCATTTCGTTGTTTAATTTACCGGTAGCAGAATATAGGCGCCGGGCAATTTTTGGCGTATCCTTGTCACATTGGCGAGCACACCTTCAGCAACCTCGGCTGCAGTGTTCGCCACATTGTTGGTGCCGACGTGGAGGACAACGATTTTGGGATTGACATTGTCGAGGGCACCATTCTCGATGCGCCACAGCACGTGCTCGGTGCGATCGTCACGTATGCTAAAGTTGAGGCAGTGCAGCGGTGCAAAGTATTGGTTCCATGTGTCCGTGTCCTGCAGTGTTTCGAATATGCAATCGCCTAGAAAGATTACGTCCGGATCCTTTTCGCGGCAATCGGATATGAAGCGGCGATGTATGCTCTGCCAGCGCTTGTCACCGTCAACATCGGGCACGGCTGTGGGGACCACGCAGGGATTCATCTTGTTGTTGTTGTTCTTGTTCGGGTGTTTTTCCTGTATTCTTGCATGCGGCGTACGCTGTTCCAGCCGTCGAGCTGTAATTAGAGTTTCTTAATAATAGACTTTGCTGCATATGGTTGCAGTCGCAGCCGCTGTTGCGAGGAGCACCTTTGATGAGAGTTGGAGAGCTCGTATAGCGGGTGGATGTGAAAATAATTATAACCAAAAGAATAATTGACAACAGAAAACAGCAGCGGTGCTAGTGATGTACGTCTGAATTATCTATCAAATTTAAATATCGTCGCAAAGCACAAGCAATGTATCGACACAGAGATATGATAGTTGAACATTTTTTAACTGAATAGCCGATAGTCGTCATAAAGCTGAGCCAATGTGAATAATAGATGTCAATCTAATATACATTTTCCATTACGGACATAAATTTATAAAGCTACCATACGAAAAATTCACTAATATGGACCGAAGCGCATATTTAACAATGGTATAATTAATATCGATAGTGTCTAATAAAATCAACTCCAAAAGGCTATCGATATTTGTAGGCAGAAGTAGTGCAACCCTGTCGTTCGGCTTCCATGGCTTTACGCGACGACTGAAAACATCAAATCTGCGACAAATAGTTGCATCGAATTTTGACGAATATCTTGCATGGGCAGCTACATTTTGTGAATCAATAATTACGTGTGCGTAACGCGCCAATCAACGACAATGGACATGGACCTTACACTGGACGAAATTATTGAGCAGAAGCGCGAACACAACCCCCCACGGAGCAATGGCAAAAATCTGTAAGTATTGCCTGCCCAAAAGAAAATGGCGCTGCTAATGTTCGCATTTTCACTGTTATTGTCACAGCCATGTTAACCACGTTCAAATGAAGCCACGCAAGTGGATCAACAAGACCAACCAGCCGGGCCAGCACCAGCGCCCCTACGACGCCCGCAACAAGATCATCCAGAAGACGCGCGCTAAAATTGTCGACGCACGCGACATACTCAATCAGAACAGACGCGACTCCGGCATCGATGCCCGTAACATGCTCATCGAGCGTAAGAAGGAGCGAATGGCAATGCCACTGCCACTGCCACCGCAGCAGTCATCGCGATCGCAACCGCGAGTGACCACTATTGGTGGTGGTGCTGCTGCAGGTGGCGCTATCATCCACAAGGGACGTTTTGGACAGCGCACAATTACCATGAGTAATCGAGGTGATGAGTTGGTTGCAACGCCCTGGTGGGATCCCAAAGACCAAATTGGGTCCCATGGCGGCTACAAGTCTAACTCATGCGCCTCGGAAATGATGGGTCGCTTAAACGCGTCTGCCAAACCGTTTGTGCCGCGCGGCTACGTCGACTATGACAACATGCAGCAGCTTGAAGATGGTAAGTGTATTTTCCAAATATTTAAGAACAGTCGAAACAGTCCAATGGCTGCAGTTAATCTTCACTGTTCTTCACTCATCAATCTTTCGATTGAGGTTTATAAAAAATCACATTCGATTATAAAAATGATCTTGCTTTCTGTCCCCATAGAGGAGATTTCACGCACGATGCACTTGAGCAACCAGCCAGTAAGTGGTCTGGGACGCTCTTATGTTGGCTATGACGTGGATATGGATGGTGTGGATATAACATTGCCACCCAGCAACACAATGGACAACGATCCCTTTTCAATTTACGAAACGTCGCGCAATCGTTTGGAGCGTCCGTCCATGCCACCGCCGTCACATGTCAGCCGTGGGGATAATTTGGATAAGCGATTTGAGCGCCGTCAGCGCAATTTGGTGACCACATCCAAATTGCCAGAGTCGCTGCGAGCGCGTCTATTTGGTGCCCAACCAGATCGTCGCGTCTCCCATGGCATCTATGCCAATGAGAATGGCACTGTGTCGTCCAAGGCACATATGTCTGGACAGGCGTCCATGTCCTCGATGTCCATGCACCAGCGTCGCAGTCCACCGTCGATGTCGATGCCGTTGCCGTTGAGCGTGGCAAATAATAAGCCCGGCTATCGTCTGCTGGTGAGCAATCTGCACACAAATGTGACCACTTCCGACATACGGGAGCTGTTCAATGACATTGGGCCCATGTACGATGCGCGCGTGGTGCGTCCGGGCACTGCGGAGGTCATCTACAAGTCTCTGGAGCACGCCGAAATGGCTGTGGATGCCTATCATCAGCGTGAGTTCGATGGCCAGCCCATGCACTGTGTGCTGGTCAATCCACACTCCTCCAATCGTGTCACTCGCTCGGTCAGGTATGCACTTCAAATCCTTCTCTATACCCACTATATACACATATGATAACAATGTCTGCTTTAATGTTGCAGCTCTCGCACCGTTACCACAAACTCATCCGGAGTGGAGGTGGATATTGATGCGTTGCACTCGGTGCTCTTCCGGGATCGCTAGACAAAAAAAATCAGAATTAATAACAAAAGAAAAGAAATTAAGTCGCGACCACCACTTAGGCATTTACAACGTGGACCGACATGCATAAATTATAAACGCATTCTTCTCCATCTAATACAATTACCAACTCTTGTCACCTATCCAAATCTTAAATCAATATTGCTGTACAACAATGTTGTATATGCATTGGCCTGACACACACACGCGAATAAATTGTCCAGCGATCACATTTATAACCAAGTTTAAGTCATTCTTCCATACACTTTTGACGTATTATTTATCTTGTATTCTGTCTGTGTTCTCTGGGCACATTGATTTGTTAAAGTTAGACAAAACCACTTCATCCGCTTTCACATTTAGTAAGGGCATCTTTTTTATTTTTTTATATAGCATTTATATTTTAAACATTAATCAACCTATTCAAAGGATATAAAACATTGATTTGTAACAGAATGAACAATAACAATGAATTACAAAAAATTAAAATAAATCCAGCGCTTTTCTTTGTTGTTTCGTTTCTTGTTTTATGTTTATTACATATTACAAAAAATGTACAGTAAATATGTTAAGATCGCATAAAATTAATTCATAATATTTAAGTAAATGAAGAGGTGCGCAAAAAAAAAATTAAGAAGATGGTTGATACACCGATGGCGATCGACCGACTTAATTGTCCCGGATGCCAGTGCCGTAGTTGGCGCCACCGGCGCGATTCAACGCTTCGCGGAACAGCTCAATGTCCAGTTCAGCCTCCACGCCCGCCTGCAGCTCCACGGCGAAATTCTGCGAATCGCAAGGATTAATTTGTGTGTTCGATTGCAACATTGTTAGTTTGGGGGGGACTTACATTCAAGACATCCTTGATGAGCGCCTTGTCCGTTGACATTTTGGCGCGCTGTATGACGCCTACCTCCTGGCCAATCCACGTGAGAAAGATGAACTTCTTGCGCTTGGACATCTCATCGCCCATCTGTATGCGTATGTAGCCAAAGGCACGCTCCGAATCGCCAAATTGCTCGCGGAACTGCTCAAAGCACTGGCCACGCCCATGCACAATTATCTGCGCCCCATCGAATTTGAAGACAGCCCACTCGGTGTCTGTGAGATCGGAGCGCACATCCTCGTAGGCCTCCCGTATGGCGTCCTTATCGACCGACGTCGCCTGCGGCATCTGTCAACCAAAAATAAGAAACAAAATACAACACAACACAAAATTAATTGTAATCAACAATGCCTGTTTACTGATCTTTCTTGCTTATATTTTTGTGCAATGCAATCAGTGCAATTTGCTGCAGACCGGAAAAAGACGCTCCCCTCCTAATTAGTCCTGCGTTGCCACCCGTTGCCCCCTGCATTTACCTGTCTCGTTTGCTTTGTGTTGAATTAACGCTTTGTGGCTGTATCTATTTGGCGGCTCTGCGCATTCAGGCAGCGCCAAAGGTGCTTTCAGATACTTTCGCTTTCATTTCGATTCGGTTCCGTGCCAAGTGCCGAAACTATGGCTGTAACTATAAAAACTAACGTAAACAATTCAATTTCAAATTAAACACGCCAATGCATTTTGCACAAAGCTCTTCAATTTGTTAAGTTCGGAAAGCGGCATAAATTATGAATATGCAACAAATAAAAAACTAACGTTTTTCAGTTTCCTTAAAATCGCTAAACGGATCAAATCTTACAGAAATAAATAAAAAGAAGTCGGTTTTTTTGTGTGTATCTTTAGCCCGGAAAAAACTTGTTCAATATTCAGTGGCCGTTTTTTACATAGGCAATTTATTGTGCTGAATTTTGCTGTTGCATGCCACATGTGTAAATTTACTGTCTGTTGTTTCAGCAAATGCCAAATAAAGTACAAATTACAATTTCGACTTAGTGCAATAATACTTCTCGTTTTAATATATAATACACTGCTGAAAATCATAATCATAAGGACAAATCTGCCATAAAAAGTATGATTTATTTTCTCGTTTGTAGTCAATATAATTCAAACCGTGTAACGCACAATTCGTGGCATTTTATAAGACTTGTTTGCTTTTATTGGCAAAAGACAAATATCAATTAATATATATGAGTTTCATATATTAAAAGTGTAATAAAATTAGAATATCTGGGAGTTGTCTACCGGGTATTTTTGAGTCGGACACTCTTAAATTGAACACTCAGTGAGAACAGTTGCAGTTGAACTGGTATCTGGCGGTGGAGCTATTATTGGACTCTGACACTCTCGCTTGATTTCCCTTATCAGTATTGTGTGCATTAATATGATTAGTGGATTTGGTGAGCTTTCTATACTTATAATAGAATTCTTCAATTTTTATCTAATTTCATACATACATACAAATTTGTATGTTTTGCTGCTTTCCCAAGCGGAGCAGCTAATTTCGTAGAGTAGCTGATTTTACGACTTCAATCATGATTTATATATTGTTCCGTTGTATGTGTGTGTGTGTGTGTGTGTGTGCGCTACATTTGAAACAATTTAAGCATCACAATTTTCAATCAGCAACGCTGCCGACAAAAAAAAATTAACGAAGATGAAAAACGGTCCAAAGATAATTTTGTTGTCGCTCCAGCGCCGAATGCAGGCATATATATTATATTTATATATTATATATATATATATATCTAGATATATATATATATATATATATATATTTGTATATACATACAAATATGTGTGGATGTTTGTATTTTATTTGGGTTGACTTCAGAAGGGAGAGTCAAGAGCAAGAATGATATCACACAAAGAGTTCGGGCATTAAAATAACAGCATCGAAAATGTCTCTTTATATGGATGGACTGATGCGAGGAGATGAGATGAAAGGAGAGGAGTTGAGAGAGTTAAATCATAATGCGTTCGTTGACCGTAATTTATGTATGTGTGTGCGTGTGTGAGTGAGAAATATCAATTAGAAATGCGCCAAGCAATTTAGAAAAGTGCGTTTTCATATACGAAATATAGCATTAAGAGACAAACAATTAGTAAGATAAAAGATTTGATTTCAACGTTGACTTTCACGACGAAAAACTGTAGATGACATACATGTATGTATGTGTGTGTGTGTGTGTGTGGACATAGAAGAGCCACAATTTGAGCTGACTTAATTAAGCAGAAGCCAACAAAAGCCAAATTATGCAAACTGTGCCAAAACGAAAGAGAAGAAGAAGAAGTGGCAAAAAATACATGCATACATAAATAAATAAGACCGTTGCTTTAATTTGTGCGCCTAACCAATTTGCAATCGGAAACAAGAGAAAAGATTGAACAAAAAGAAGAGAAAGACAACAAATAAAAGAATACAGAACCTGAGAACATTCATTTATGAGTAAATACAGGCTCAGTGACCACATTGTCAGCTGCCATAAATTTTCTTGTTGCTTTTTTTTTTATTTATTTATTTTTATTTTTGTTGCCACTGATAAGACGAGTGAGTATCTTTGCAAATGTGCACAAATAAATTGGCACACACACATACGCACACATCTGGGCTTGCCAGATAACTAATAAAATTTAGCCTTAATTGCAATGTAACATGTTGTGGTTCTTCGAGGGTGCGTTCGTGGGTGCAGCATTGACGCAAACCTAATCTCTATGTTAACCTGATAAGCCGGCAAGGCGACACACGCATCGAAATAGAATTATGGCATTATATGGCATGGCATTCGTTTGCCTAGCTAGATTGCTCACATCTTGTGCTTGCTTGTTCTCGTTTTGATAGCTTTGATTATTGCTCGTGACAATTAGTGCTGGTGTAGATTGCGCAATCTCATAATTAAATAATTGCACACCATTTAGAGCTGCATATACATATATATATATATATATATATATATATATATATATACAAACACAGTTCATTCGTATCTATGTGTGCGTGTATGTGTTCGTATTTTTGGAGTGGCCAGCAAAGAAAGTAAAAGTTATTGATGATTCTCGCTTACACGATTTGTAATCAGATTATTTCGACGGGCAAACCATAATCGATTGGTTTTCTTATCGCAATTCTGATTTGTTGCCAAGTGCATATCTTCTATACACAAACAAACATGTATATATATATATATATATATATATATATATATAAAAGTGTATATCAATTAAGAGCTCAAACCAAACTTGAAATTTTCACAGTAGTTTCCACTACACATTTTGGATTTTCCCCCGATAATTTTAACTTTTTTTTATTGATTTTTATTTCTTCTTACCCGTGCAAAGCCGGGCAACACCTCGGAGTGTTTGTTCAGATACGCTCAGTATACGTGTTTAATCAGACATCAAGCTAGTCGCTTGCAATCTTCCTAATCTCTCTTTCTTATCGCAAGTCCACAGCTACTGCAGTGGTAATGTGGGCCGATCCACTGACCGTCAGCGCTGCCTTTCTAGAAATTTCACTTCAGTCGCTGGTGACTTTTGTGTGTGATATTCATATGTATATATACAGTCCCTCACAGCTAATTACACCCACCAAAAACAATATTTTTAAGATAAGTATTCATTTGTAACATAAAGTGCTATCAGCGTACTTCGACAGCTAACCAAGTAATAATTTTAACTCAATTTAGTAAGGCCCCTCCTTTGATTTATTACCAATTTTGTTGCGGTCTCAGATAAAGAAGAAATATCAACCACATATAAGTTTGTCTCTTTAGGTGGATCTCTTTCCAAGAAAATAATTAACACAACTCCTACATATATTTATATATATATTGAGTTGATTTTGGAATTAGGGCGATAAAAAGAATCATTCATAAAAAATCGAAAAAATGTTTGAAAAGCACGACCAAAATATGTTTTTACTGAAAGAAGTTGTACTGTAAAATATTAATAATATTGTTTATTGATATTGCCGCATATTATTTTTTAATTCCTGTTCCATGACTTCTAATTTGACTTATTTGTTGATTTTAAAATCAGTCCAATAATTCTTAATGCTATTTATAAATGCGACCACAAGCGAATGGTTTTTAAACCACTTTCGAGCTTTCCGACTCGTAAGCTGAGGGTCGTTTTTCAGTTGAAAGAGCCACATTAAAAGCATTTCATTATAAACGTAAGGGAAAATCAGATTTTCCATTAGTTCAGTGTGAGTGTGCAGAGCCATGACTGTTTTAATTCAATGTATAGGCCCCACTCCACAATGGGAAAATCTCACCCAGCCCATATCATTATCCTTGTCTGCAATGTTCTTATGTATTTATTTATTTATTTTTTATTTTTTATTTATTTTTTTTTTTTTTTTCATTTTCGACTGTATCAAGTGAAGTGGAATGCGATAGTAAATATGTATGGGAATTGTATTGAAAATTCGTATCACTGTCTACGAATACCGATATCAGTAATTTTATCTGTATCAGCGCATAAATTTGGCCTTTGTTATAACGTAGCAACAAAGATATGCAGCGGGATACAAAACAAAATAATAATATAATAAATAAACTGCCGACGAAAGCAAAAGTCAGCAGGCTGTATGATATGTGGAATGTATGTAAGTATGTATGTATGTATGTATGTACACATATGTATGTACATTGAAGCGAAACATAAGTAAAGCATTGAAATCGTTTAGTACTCACTAATGCTTTTCTGATAGCCGGTCGAGTCACACAAAATTTCACATAAATCAAACGAGACTTAATGCAAAAATAGTGCAAAGCAACCACAAGCCAAGCAGCGTTTGAGTCATCTGTGTGTGTGTGTGTGTGTGTGTGTGTGTGTGTGCTGCAGGAATTCAAAACAAAATGTCGCCCAAGAGAAACACAATAAAACATATATATATATATGTATATATATATATTAAAATACATATCTCGGGCAGTGGGGTGAGTCATGGCGAAGCATTTGTTTGTTTGTTTTCTTAAGCCATGGCCTAGACGGGCTATGATAAGCTTAAAGAAATGAATAAACGTAATGTATATTTAAAGTGTACCTGCAAGTGTGACCATGTGTGTACCTATGTGTGTATGCCTGGTTATTGAAAGTTAATGTCTTGATTAAGAGAGACGTGAGACACGTGTTATGTTTGCTTGTCCCGAAAACAAACTGGTTTTCTGACGTCAAGTGTTCAAGTGTTGGCCAGAAGGAAGAGTTCATTGCGAGTAACTAACTGTACTCATTTTTCGAAAATACCTCATCATTTTTGCATTTTGATTTTGATTTTGTTTGTTGTTTAGAACAGTTAGTTAGTTGGCTAAATCACATATATCTTATCAAAAAACGCTCTTTAAGGTTAACAAATTTGTTCAGCGTACATACAATTGTGTAAGGCGTCTGGCTAGCGGATATTAAGTGTTTGATAATGAATCAGATAAGCTAACATTTCTAATATCAGCGCCGCTCTGTTGCCGCCCACAATGAGTGCGGTTCGCGCGAAGAATGTGTCAGCAGCTGTTTTTCAGTTTTGCGAACAAAAGTTTGCCCAAAAGTTTTTGAAATGCTTGTCGCAAAATGCAATTGATGCCTACAAACTGAATGAATGAATCAGCGTCTCTTTCGCTTGCCCCATTGAGGGGCGATGGGGGTGGGGTTGGGTGGGGAATGGAGGCCGGCATAATGGGGTGCAATGTTGTGCTTTTCTTCTCTTTTATGAGTTGTTTTTTTTAGACTTGTCTGTGTGTGTGTGTGTGTTCAGTTGTTGTTTTTGGTTCTCCCTTTTTTGACTCGATTTGCAGCGAAACAAAGGAACTTGTATTTTATTTATTTAGTTGTTGGCATTGGCTCATGCATCTGTGCGACTTATGACTCATGCCTGAGTGCGACAAAGAGCCATGCTGAGCAATAATAATCAGCAAAGGAAGAAAATCAGGAAGCTACTGCACAGGAAGTGTTGCCTGTGTGTGTGTGTGTGTGTGTTTTCGGTTGGGCGGGCAAATGCAATGCATGATTGAGTTCCTTAATTAAAATCATATAGTAATAATAGTATAATAGTTTCTAAAATGACGACCCTGCCATTCCAACAATTATGCCATTGATATCGTTAGAAGCTGGGGTAACGGGGGGTCCGAGCTGGAGACGTTGCGCATACGCCGCATATACGATATTCAATATTATTTATTGCCATTGGCATTGATAATGTCGACTGCTGCTTTTGCTGTTGTTATTGTTGTTGTTGTTGTTGTGGCACCTGTCTGAATGCATTTCGTTTCAGTTTTCATGGCTTTTGCTGTGCGCATTTTGTTTGACTTATTGATTGAGTTATAGCCGTAAATGGTACGCCTCTGTTCGGACAGATTAGGCATAAGCCATGCGTACACAAAGCATGAGCATATGTATGTAAGTATGTACGTATGTATGTATGGTGGGATGTATGTATGGATGTATGTGTATTCACTCGATCGCATTGAACGACTTTATCGACACGACTACACTGCACAAAAAGCTGTTGCACGAAAGTCATTGTACAAATAAGTAAAAAACATAAATAGTTCCTGATTTATAGCAAATCCCAAAAACAAAAAACAATAAATAAAAGCATGAATCACTTTTATTAATATTATTATTTTTGCTAGTAGTTGTGTTATAACTATAACTATTTTTGGTAATATTATTATCATTTATTATTATTATTATTTAATTATTATTGAGATACTAACTCTAGCTTAAATCACGTAAAGTTGTGGCAAATTCAACACAATTATTTTTTATCTCTGTACAAAAACTAAACTGAAAGCAAATCTCATTTTTTCTTTTTAAGTTTTGAGTCATGACGATTCGATAGCTGCTTAATAAAGGAGCTAATTGTGTATGTGTGTGTGTAGGTGTACGTGTGTGTGTTGGTGTACGTGTGTGTGTTGGTGTGCGTGTGCGTCACTGCGAATCAATCGAGTCCCCAAATGACTCACAGATACGCACTCACGCTTAGAGCCATATCACAGTAGTGTATCAGCGGCGCAATCGAATACTGTCAGTCACAGTAGCCAACAAATTTGTCGTTGCCATTGAGTGATACGAGAGATGTTCGTTGCTAGTAGTTGTTGCCCCAACGAAACCGCAACAATTACTTGATACATGCTACAATGATTGATAAGATACAGCTACAAGTGTATTCAGCAAGGGCGTATCTACTTCTTATTATTATTTTTTATTTTTTGATTTATTGTAGAAAACTTATTCAATTCATATATATATACATATATACATATATATAATAGTTTTGGTCAATTTCTTAGGCTTGCATACAAACTTCAATTTAGTTGCGTCTTCCAACAAATATGAACAAAATAAATAATTATAAAGTTGATCATTTGCATGGGGAAAATGCGCTTTGACTTCGAATTTGGTACAACACGCACACATACACATATACAAATGTATATATCCTGCATTTATATTGCTGAGTGTATACATATAAATATGCATATAAATATATATATATATGTGTGTGTGTGTGCGTAAAGTGATGTGCGCACTTGAACTTGATATGCATAGTCGCTGCTCCTGTTGTTGTTGTTTGGTATGGCCATGCCCACATGTGAGTCTCTCTGCCAGCGTATGTCACCCCTTTGCTGCTGCTGATGTATGTATGTATGTATGTATGGATGTGTGCGTATGTATGCGCATGGGCTGCATCCTCCCCCGCATTAAACGCATAATACGCTTCTTTTTATTATTTTTCTGATTCTCTCTCTCTCTCTGATTTTTCGTTGTCTGGCAACGGGCAACGGCACCGGCATTTGCTCTGCTACTGGCCCTGGCTGGTTCTTCTGGAGTCACAGTTATTTAAAGTTCAACACTTGCGCGCACACACACACACACACACACACACGCACACTTGACTTTGGGCTCCAACTTTTGGCGAGGCTGGGTCTGTGTGCTCTTCCTCTTCCTTTTGAGCACTCTCGCGCTTACAGTTCTTGCTCTCATTCTCGCTCTCCCTCTCTCTCTCTCTTTTTCTCTCTCTGTATACTGCTCTCTGCCTCCCTGTCAGTCTCTCTATCTGTTTCTGCAGATTTTCTTTTGCTGCTGCTGCTGCTGCTGGTGTTTGACTGCCCTGTTGTCGCATCTTTTATAAGTCTAATTCTTTTTGTTCGTCGTCTGTGGCCGCACTTAATATTTTCTTATAACATTATATGTACATCTTTGTTTCTACGTATTCTAAATGTGTGTGTATGCAGTATGCTTGCAAGTGTAAATGTGTGTGTGAGTGTGTGTTTGTAGGATGTCTCACCCTTCTTGGCTTGGTCTCCACAATTTGTTCAACTTCAATGCCGTCTGACATGTTGCTGGCTGAATGGGATGCTGTGGCGGCTCCTGCTCTGCGCTGCTCTTCTTCTTCTGCTTTGTGAGTGGCGGCTGTTGCTGCAACTCAACGGAGAGTTCAATGAATTTTGTGCCGCTTGGCTTTTTGGTGCAACTTCGAATTGAGAATGCAACAGTTTGAGCACACAACGCGCACAATGTCAGCGGTAAATTGGTGCCACGGTAAATAATAACAACAAGACAACAAAAAATTAATAAAATACAAAAAAAAAATAAATAAATTTAAAAATAATAAGACAAAGACACAGGCTATATAACCGGAGGGATCGAGAAATAGCCGACCGACTCCGTCCGACTCGCACGAAATGCTGCTCACGAATGCGGGCCGGGAGCGTGTGCAACTCCAACGAAGTGGCTGACGCAGAAGCAGCGCACCAAACAGCACAAAGCATAACGACAAAAAACGAAGCGAGCAGCGCAGTCAGCACAGTCAGCAGTGGCAATGGCAACGAACGAGCGCGCAAGTGGGAGCAGACTGGAGAGACAGAGCGAGAGAGAGAGAGAGAGAGAGATAGTGTTAGCGTGAAACGTCAACAGCGACGGCGCCGCCACCGCATTTGGTTTTATTTTCAGTTATAGAGTTGAAAGTGCGCGGGCAGCGACGTCGACGGCGCCGTTGACAAAATGTTTGAGACCGCTGTGAGTGTGTGCGCGTGTGTTTGCGTGTGTAGGGGTGTGTCTGTGTGAGGATGCAGCAGCACTATGCAAAAGCATTATTGATCGACGACTCCACTTATGTATGGACATGTTTGTATGAATGTGTGTATGTATGAATGCGTGTATGTATGTGTGTATGTCTTTGTGTATGGCTGTGTGTATGTGTATGTACATGTAGCCATCATGCACACACACATATACACATATATAAAGATTACAATGTCCAGTTTATGCTTTGGCAGATTACGTTAGGCTTACAGCTGCTAATTGGGGAATCACAACATACATTTGTACATTTTACACACATATATACACATATATAATCGTTTATATGAATGCAGAAAATGATTTAATTAAGAAAAACAGAAATATCAAACATATCACGCAAAATGTCTCCATGCCAAGAGCTGAATGTGTTAGGATTTGTTAAATCGCTTTTCTCTTTTGCAAATAACTTATTTTTTTGTTTGTTTTTCTTTTTTCATTTTTTTTTTGTTGCAGACTGTTGCTTGGCGGCAACAGCCAGTTGCGTATTAACCGGTCGGCCAATTGAAAGCTCAGGTGCAGGCTTAACGGATTCTTCCATAAGCAATCAGTGCGCCAGCCTCGCTTTAGCCTTGAGAGAAGAAGCCTAGACTGGCAAGGCCAGTGAAACTGTTACTGACACTGACAGACTGACAGACTGACGGACTGAGAGACTGACTCCCTAACCGATGCCTAGCACGTTGCACGTTGCAATCAAGAGCGCACGTAACAGCCAGACGTGTTGTGTGTGCGTGTGTGTGTGTGTGTGTGTGTGTGTGTGTGTGTGTGTGTGTGTATTTGTGTAATGCACTTCGGGCTGAAGCGGGAGGTAGTGGAACGATTTATCCGGTGCAGAGCTTATCGTCGTCAGCGTCATCCACGTCTTCTCATCGGACGGGGCTGCAAGCAGTTCAACGTGAACGATGCAATCAGTTTGGCGAAATGGAAAACAAAGTATATAAAACACAATAATAACTAAGGAATAAGAAACAAGAAAAATTAATTCACTTGGAGTAAGACACGTGTTTACATTTAGACTTGGAAACGATTCTTAAAGATTAGCTAAGATTATTTTAGATATATTTACAAATAAACTATGGTAATAATATAATAAAAGTAAAAAGAAATCGAAAATATTCTTAAAGATATTTTTCAGATTTAGAAAAATGAATAAACTTGAAGTAGAAAAGGAAAATAATCAAATAATATGTATATATATATATATATATTTTAGATTATAATTATAATTTACAGGTATATCTTCTTACTAATGGATCATCACCCTACCAAAGTATGAAATTGTATTTACTTAACTTAAAACAGAAAGAGTTTCCAAACATTTGCTTAGCGAAAACATTTGCTGGAAGGTGATTCATTGCACCACAGACTTAATACTTCATTTTTTATTTAAACAAATACATTGTGAAAGATTTACTTCGATTAGCCTACGTCAGTCATTGACTTATAAGAACTAGTTGCATATCAAATTTTGTGGCAAAGCTGTTTTCACTGTGAGCAGTGCACGAGAGTTTAAACAAACATTTGGCCTCAAGTTGAGAAAACAAATCAGGGAATACAACTTTTACAGGCGCGCCGAAGGCTAGATACCCTTCTGGACAGCAGCTAGTCGCGGGAATAAACTAAACGATGATATTATTATTATTATTATTATTGTGTCTAATGGAAAAGTTTGGATGTTTACTTTTTCACGGTTTGCTTCCAACTCAAACTTCCTTCCAAGTTTGGTAACTGAAGCTCTTAAATTGCGGGAGTTATAAGCTTTTATCGATTTTGTTGGCTGGGGAGGGCGCGGTCTAAAATTTGTTTTCCCGGATTTTTGAAGAGTGTTACTAGCAATATACCTTTCTCATTTGGTGACTCTAGCTTTCAAATTGTGTGAGATATGTGGTCTAATCGATTTCCACCAACAGGTGTATCAGTTTAGGGAGCCGGAGTGGGCGTGGTCATCCAATTTCTTATCGATCTCTTGGGCGAGCTACCAGTAAGAAACTTTTTAAGTTTGGTAACTCTAGCTTACAAATTGTGGAAGATATGCGCATTTGAGATTTCTAGAGCTGAAGTGGGCGTGGTCTGAAAATTTATATGCCGATCCTTGGAGGAGGTTGCCAGCAAGTTAGCTTCCAAGTTTGATCACTCTCTGTTTGTAGATTTGTGGGAGATATGCGGATTTATCAACTTACACTTTCCGATATATCGGCATTGGCGATTATGGGCACAATTGAGGGCGTGGCCATGAAAAATTATTATCGGCGGCTACCTGTATAAATTATATCGCTGCTCATCTCGATCCCGCAACTTGAAACTCATTCCCATGGCAACTATAAGATTTAGTAGCCCGATGATGATTTTTTTTTTTACCAAATATGAGCAACTTCACAACACGCATATTTCGTGAGTTTGGTCAGAAAGAAACTTCGTCCCATAGTTACTCTCTCGACAAACTCTTTTACTATAAAAAACCCATGTATCTCCACTAGAAACTAAGATTTGCCACATCCACACTTACAACATTGCCTGCTGAAGACACAAGACTCATTGTTCTAAAAGAAGATTTCCTCATCTATGCCATGCGCAGCTGGAAACAATTTTAAAATTAAACTAAAAGCACAATAATAAGGGAAATGTGTAAGTGATAATATTAGTTAAGCTGAAGTAAATCAAACTAAATTTATATCAAAGTTATGATATCTAATAATAAATATAACATATGAAAATGGCTTAAACTGATCTTAAAATTCTATTCTTCTATTTTCATTGACCATAAAATATCATCCATTTATTCAGTGGTGACTGGTGCCTCAATTAATAGGCTTCTGCTTCTCGGTCTGGATATGAAAAGCTAAGTCAAATAATAATAATAATAACAATAATAAATAAGCTAAGCTGATACATATACCTATATTCTGGGAGGGAGAGATGGATATAATTCAGGTTTCAGCAAGATTAGCTGAGGCAAACAGACACAGTGACAGTCTGAGGGATGCAGTTTGATTCTGGTCAAGTTGTATATGCAGGCACATATATAAGACTGGCATTTAATTAACTTGGCTTGAATACTATGGGCTAAGACCTTTGGTGAGGACAACGATCCGTGTGATGCTGCATGGGCAGCTGGTTGCTGTGATTATTTGTTGAATGCCCACGCAAATTTGTATGGCCACTCGTTGGCCACAACTGCCAGCAACATGTTGCAGTGCGGCATGTTGCTGCCACATGTGGTGAGTTTAGCGTACAGGCGCAACGCAGGCGCCGGCACTGGTGGCCATTTGGGCCGACTAGTTGCCAACGGCTCGTTCAACGTAACGGTAACGCAGGCAGACCGAAGCGGGCCAGCAAGCGACAACGCTGACGCTCGACGTCAACGCTTGTCGTGGGCGTGTCGTTGTCGTCGTGCATATTGTGGACATATAAACGTCCGTTACGAAGCAAATTGTTAAACGCCAACCGTTAAGCATTGTCCTCCCTCGCCCATTGAGAAGCCAAGCGATGCGCGCGCTACTCGACGCGCAACACTCTTTGTGATTTATTTTTTTTATTGTTTTCCATTCAGTGCAACCAGAACCAATAATCGAACGCAGAAGTGGAAGCAATTAGCGACATCGCTTAAATATTGGTGATCTCCTTTCGATACAATCAGATAAACACACACACACACACACACACACACACACACACACACATGTATAGTGGCAGCGCCGAGGATGCTGCCAAAATGGCGGCCACCTACAAAGCATTGCTTGATTATTATGCCAATGCTCGCAGCGCTGCTAGTCACATAGTCTCACTGACATTGTCACCGCTCAACGAGACACTCGACGCGGCAAATGTCAACATCAGCAGCAGCTTCAGCAACAGCAACAGCAACAGCAGCAGCAACAGCGCCAACAGCAGCGCCATCTATGAGGATGATGATGAACTTGCCGCTGGCAATCTGTTTGCCATCACCGAGGCGAGCATATCGATAGCCGGAAGTGGCAGTGGTAGTAGTAATAGTGGTAGTGTTACTGCTTCCGGTGGTGCTGGTGCTGGTAGTGGCGGCACTGAGATGCCTGCCTGGCTCATACCCAGCTACAGTGTGATCCTGTTGTGCGCCATTGTTGGCAATCTGTTGGTCATCTCAACGCTAATGCAGAATCGTCGCATGCGCACAATTACCAATCTATTTCTGCTCAATCTGGCCATCTCGGATATGCTGCTGGGTGTCCTCTGCATGCCGGTCACCCTCGTCGGCACACTCTTGCGCAATTTCATCTTTGGCGAGTTCCTCTGCAAGCTGATACAGTTCTCGCAGGGTAAGTTTCCATTAAATTGCAATCTTCAATGTTCAGATTTTCACACGGATATGTGTGCTAAAAGGGCTGTGGCTGTAATTATGTAACTATGGCTGTGTGACTAATGACGTGTAACTAGGCAAGACTTAATTGTGTAATGTATCCCATTTTCCTTACACATGTACACATGTCATAAACTGGAACCACCAAACCAAACTGGCACAACTCAGAGTTGATCATTTTCGAGTTTAGCTGCCAAAACTGTAAATCATACTCACGTAAAGCTCAAAATAGAGATAAGCTCCCGGTTTGAAGCCCTTCTTGAGGGCATGCAAGTGGACAGATGTGTACATGTCACCCTATCTGATACAATATATAATATATATATATGTACAAATGTGGATTATTCAGTTAAAAGCGAAATCTCAAATTGGAATCGCATGAAAAATGATTGCATAAATATATATATATTATAAATATATACTATAGAAATATATATACTATAGAAATATATTTAAATTTCATTTTACACATTGACCAAATTAAAGCTCATTTTTAATCCTTCCTCTTTTTTAACTGCAAGCAAACAAAAAATATTTGCAGTGCGTGTTCCCATGACAAAGGGCTAACAAGAGTTCCACGAAGTGAGGGATTCTATTAATAGCCTAAAAATAAGTAGATGCTCGTCAGGCCCTTTTGCTCTGCATAAGTAACGCAGAAATCAACGACAACTGAATTTTAAATTCACGTATTTGAAAGCAGCATACATATATATATATATATATATATATGATAATATATATTGAATATGTAATTAAATTGATGCACTAAATGCCCGAAGCTTGTCAAATATTATCTTATTGAAGATTAAGACAACTTAACGTGCTTAGATACAACATTATTGAGGTGTTGTTTCCTTTTAAGTACGACATTAAAATTGAATTCGAAATAAAAATTAATGTGTTTCTGAAAGTGAGTTAAGTGAAATGCTCAAATTTTTATGATTGAAATTGAGTGTTATTTATGTGAGACTGATTGGATAGTGGAAGGACTTAAGGCATATACGCAATAATTGAGATGAATGCAATAAGATATATTCATTTAATTGCTGTAGCAGTTATCTGGAGAATGTTTGTTTGTGTTCACTAAACAGGTCTTAGCAATGTGCTCAACTTAAATTGAGATTTAATTTATTTAATATGCTTCTTTGACACAACATCTCTTACGGCTTTACAAATCTGACATTTGATGCTGCCGCAAATAGTGAGTGAGTGTTTGTGTTTCTTTGTGGGTGTAGGTGTGTGTGTGTGTGTGTGTGTGTGTGTGTGTGTGTGTGTGGGGGGGGGGTGGGGGGGGGGGTCGCCTGGGGGTTAGCCACATGTTATAGCAGAAAACCAAACCAAAGTATATGCCTGACATCTGGGACTGTATCATTTTATTTAGCTGAAACGTCGTGGGAGTGGGGGGGGGGGAGTGGAGGGGAACGACATTCATTTATACAATTATATTACTCCCCGTCCCTCCTCCCGTTGTGCACGTCCATCCATTCAATCCGGGCGGTGTGAATGTCGCCTGTGGCTGCTGCTTGTCACATTTGCGACTCCTATTAAAATGGCTCAAATTAAATAACAATTTATATACAAAGAAATAAAAACGCTTCACAATTTTATTTGAATGTCTGCGCTTTTCAATTGATATTGCTCAGCATTTCAATTGCAGGCTAAAACTGTGCTAAGAGTATCCGAGTGGCAGCAGCAAGAATCAAATATTGTATACCCAGATGCTCATATATCATACACAAATTGAGTTTATTTTGAATGTGCAATGCACATTATTAAAAAAAATAGCAAGCAAAATAAATTTACATTTTTATATTTGTATTTGTGGATTTGAAGATAAAATGTTTCATTTAGTCTTTTTAAAAGCCGGTTACAAGCTACTTCTCTCTGGAATAAAGCATTTCGGCTTACTATAAATTGCAGAGGATATTCTAGTTGTGTTGGAAAGTTCGTAACGCATTATTGGATATGTCTCCGACTCCGTAGAGTATAGATATATTCATGATAAGCATCATTCTAGATTTGGTTTAGCTTATGAGGCAGTTCCAGTTTCCAGTTCCATCTGCGAAGGGCAAAGACGACAAAAGGTTTTTCAGAATTAAGAGTCTTGTGTCTTAAGAAGACAATGTTGTAAGTTCTTGTGGATGTGGTAAATCGCAGTTTCTTGGAATATCTCTGTGTATTGGAGCTAATGTGAGAACAATTTGCTTTTTGACAAGATATCCAGATGAAACTCGGAAGATATGCGTGTCATTTAGTGCTTCACATGTCAAATAGCTGTCATAGCCATAATCGGTCGAAAGATGAAAGTTGTAGGATCGAGGTTGGCATAGACAGTATTATCTCACAAAGGGTGTCACAATATATACGTTAAGGTACAGTTATGTTTCCCACTGATGGAGTTTTTTCCTACCATATTATTTTACAATATTACTATACACACCTGGCGCATATTTGAATTTTTACAAAGTATTTCGAGACTTAGTTTCGAGTTAAAGGTATAAAAAAAAGGATTCATCGCAGTTGTGCCTATTGATATGATAGTGCTGAGGACGTTCATCGTCGTTATTCCCTCGATTGAATTTATAATGAAATTTAGATGTCCGCAGTTTGAAACCGTTCTGCAAGGGTATGTAATATTCGGCGAAAGCTGTTCTTTGAAAGCTGCTGTTACTTGTTTCTTTTCAATTTAACTTTTTCTTTTTTGCCTTTTGTGTCGCCTTATTTGGCAGTTGCCATTTGGCATCCCTAACCACTCGATGATTCGTGGCGCCGATTCTTATTTTTGCTGCTCTTTTGTTATGCAAATGACATGCAAAGCAAATGCGAAGGCGTCGTCACACAAGCAACATGTAGCACAACAACCATGTAGGAATGCAAACAAAAACACAAAAAAGGGAAACAATGATAAATTGCAAAATAAGAAACAAGAAATCGCAGACGCCTGGTGTTCGCGCTGCTGTGTCCACTGTCCACTGTCCACTGTTCACTTTGGTCGGGAACCACTTTGCGTATACTCAACGTGGCGTCCCATATAAAAGTCGCGCTGTTTTCCGCCCATTATATGCCATCACTTTTCCCAAGATAAAATCTGGACGCGTGTTGAGCATTTCTTGTGTTATTACGTATTACATTACATTTTTGTATTGCACGAACCTTTCGAGAATTGTAATAATTTTCGCTTCCATTTGCCACTTATTAAGGATGTGCCACCAATTTCTAGTACTATACGCGTTGCACATACAGATGAAGACACATTTATATACAGCTGCTTGAAATATGCGATTATTCAAGATTTGCCATTAAAACGAAAAGCTCTCCTCAATTTCAGTAAAAACGCGTTGATAAAAGACGCAAGTGGGTTTCATAACTACTTTATGAAATATAATCTTTAATTCATCGCCTTTTCAATAGTTTTCATTCATCTTTGTGTCGAGTCACTTATAATAGCATACTTTTTCGGTTTTAAGTTCCATTGTCATGCATTACAAATATGGTGGTGAATGGAATTTCAAACTTAATTTCATTGCCCAAATAATTGTCACTCTAAGCACAGAAAAAAATTGACTGAATTTTAGAAAATCGCCATGAAAACTAGAAACATTTTTTTGTTTGTTGGAAATAAATTCCAAGCATAAGAAAAAAATGTATTTTAATTAGATTCGTTTTTTCTTTTGACTTTTCAGAAATATAGTTTTTTAATAAACAGGTGAACATATTTCTAAAAAGTCTAAATGCAAACCTCCATTTAAAAATAAAAATAATTTTGAGAAATTTAGAGAATTGCGATGAAATTTCCGCCTTAGAGGGTGAGTTAGTGTTTCTTATTCACATATAAAAAGCAACATTCCGGATATTGGACTTAAGCAATTTAAATGGAAATAATTTTAAATCGAGCATTTTGATGATGCGTTAAACAAGCACAAATTGCGTACCCAACTTGAAGTCATTAAAGCTACTCAAAATAACGATTGCATTAGATTGAACTTGATTATGTTGAGAACTTTAGAAAAATATCTTGAATCGAAATGAAATTCATTATTATTGCTTTTGATTCGGCTTTAAAATTCACAACATACTTACTTACTTAACCGCAAGAACTGCGGGGTAACCTGACGTCGAGTATGCCACACTGCTGTAGTCTCTTCGTTAGGCTCATTGTTTCATTGTTTGGCTTGTCGCTTACATAAGTTTCTAAATAAAATTTGCCATCGGCCTTGAGAGGCCGCAGCAGTCATAAATTTGTTTGTGGATATGGAGCGTGAGGAGCGGGGAAGGGGTGTCCCTGAGCGGGTGTGTGTGTGTGTGTGTGGATATCTGTGTAGAAGTGTATGCTTGCTAATGCGCCTACAACATAATCATAAACATAAGCAACAATAAGCAGCGAGCTGAGACCTAATTCCGCCTAATTGTCTGGCCAGCTGAAGCTGAAGCGTCCAACTCCCAAGCTGCCGAGAATTCAAAATAAATTTCATTTCCATTTTCTGGCGCGCCTTAAGTTGACAAAAGTGTGACGCCAAATTACTTTGCACCCACGCAGCGATGGTGCTTCGTAGTCAGCGGAATGAACACTGAAGCCGGTGTCCTGTGTGGCAAATGTGTTTTTAATAGAATCTGACTTGGCAGCAAGTTTTTCTCTTTCAGCTTTGGTGTTTGATTTGAAATTATTTTATTGGTATTTCGTTGTGTGGGCTCTTGCTAACATGTATACATGCTTATCCTGTTACTATATCACAAGGGTCAACAAAAGCGAGCTTAGTAACACAACCACAAGTCAAGAAAAGCATTTAATTTAAATCCTGCCGCCTAACACAATACAAGCAAGTGAGCACACGACTCAGCGCTACCCTGTTTTCAGGAAAGATCTATATAAAAAATCAAAAGCCAAAGCATACAAATATTTTGGAAAGTCAACTCCACAACCTCAGGTGAAAAATTGATGTTAGAGATAATGTTTTATTG